CGGCATCCATGCAGCCAGCGGAACGGAACTACGAAATCTACGATCGAGAAATGCTTGCTATCATTGAAGCACTGAAGGATTGGAGGAACTTTCTAGAAGGACTCCCTCAACCATTCGACATCATTACGGACCATTCGAACCTCGAATTCTGGCGCACTGCACAAGACCTCACCCGCCGACAAGCCCAATGGGCCCTCTATCTGTCACGGTTTGACTTTCATATGATCCACCGCCCTGGCAGAGTAAACACCCAAGCTGATGCTCTCTCCCGCATGGCAGTTCATCATGTATCGGACAGCGATGATAACCGACAACAGACAGTCCTTAAACCTGGCCACTTCGTAAAAATTGCAGCTTCGATCCTACAGAACCCCTTAGAGGATCGTATCCGGAAAGCCTCAGAACGGGAGGCACAGGTATTGGAGGGTCTCAAAACAGTCAAAGAGCACGGACTACAGCGCTTGGCCAATGGGATAGCCGAATGGGAAGAAGACAATGGGTTGGTCTACTACCGAGGTCGAGTATACGTACCAGCAAACGACGACCTACGCACTGAGGTACTCCGTCAATGCCACGACAATCCAACTGCAGGACACCCCGGACTACACGGGACACTCGACTTGGTCAGTACCCATTTCTGGTGGCCTACGTTGCGCTCTTTTGTGGAAAAATACGTTGAGGGATGCGAGGTTTGTGCCCGTAAGAAGATCCAGCGACACCCACGGGCCGTAACTCAACCATTAGATGTACCATCCGGTCTATGGGAAGAGGTAGGGGTTGACCTGATAACACAGCTACCTAACTCCCAAGGCTACGATGCTGTCTTGGTTTGCACAGACCTGTATGGAAAACAAATTCACGCCATTCCTTGCACCAGCTCCATCACAGCCGAAGGCGTTGCCGATATTTACTACCGAGAGATCTTCCGTCTCCATGGTCTTCCTCTTCACTTTAAATCCGACCGCGGACCCCAGTTTGCAGCTAAACTCATGCGATCCCTTCTCGCTAGGCTAGGAATTAAATCAGATCTAACCTCCGGATACCGTCCTCAGTCTAATGGCCAAACCGAACGAGCAAATCAGGAAGTAGAGAAATACATCCGCCTCTATGTAGGACGACGACAAGATGACTGGGCAGAGCACCTTCCCATGGCGGAGTTTGTGATTAACTCACGGACTCATTCTGCGCTAGGCATGTCCCCGTTCGAGCTAACCTACGGCTATCTTCCCCTGTTCAATATCCCAGTGGGCCAACGCAGCGGTATTCCAGCTGTGGATGACCGTATACAGATTCTCCGAGAAGCGCGACAAGATGCCGGAGCTGCCTTACACCTAGGAAAGAAACAACAGAAGGAGGGATACGAACGCGGGAAGCGGAAAGCTCATCAATTTAAAGTTGGAGACCTAGTCTGGCTCAGTGCAGAGGACATTAACCTTCAACTTTCCAGTGAAAAGTTAGGAGATCGACAGCTTGGCCCTTATCGCATTCTGGAGAAAATTGGCCCTTTAGACTACCGCCTTGACCTTCCCCTATCCCTAGATCGCCTCCATCCCGTCTTCCATGTCGATAAACTATACCCCTGGAAAGGTAACTCTAATGGCGAAATACCAACACCACCAGAGCCGGTATACTTAGAGGATGAAGACGAACCGGAATACGAAGTAGAGGAGATCTTAGACAGCCGGGTTCGATGGAAGAAGTTGGAATATTTGGTTAAGTGGAAAGGTTACGACGCAGGGCACAACTCTTGGGAACCCGCAGCCAACCTCAGTCGAGCACCAAAAATTGTTCGGGCCTTTCATAAAAAACACCCAACAGCGGCAAAGCCTTGACCATCGAGGGCAATGGTCATAAGGAGGGGGGTAATGTCATAAAGTACGCAGCCCCTATCATTTTCCTTTTCTCACCGTCTCGACGCCTTTACTTGTACGATACATCATCCCATCACTGTCAAACTCCCATCGATTACTGATCCATCGATTACTGATCCACCTGACCCATCTTCTCCTTCTATTGGCTTCCGCCACCTTCCTTGTTCCTAAACTGTACAGTATTACATCGTTGTTTCTCGCAGACCGGATTATGTATATATAGCCAACCCTCCACAGCCTGGTCCCTTATCTTGACCTCTCTGTCATTATCTGGGACCAGGTATGTGCTTACTTATTATTACCTATGACTACGATACTCAATATATCTCTGTCATTATCTGGGACCAGCCTGCCGCCATTCTGCTTAGTCGCTCCGCCTTGTTGCCTTGTCCAGTTGCTCCGCCTCACCGTTCTGCTTAGTCGCTCCGCTTTCCCGCTCCGTTAGTCACTCCGCCTCTGCCGCTTCGTGACAGTGCTTACCACCGCAGAAGAGACAAAGATTGTTCTTCATCCTTCTTTCCCGTTCGGAGGGAAGTACCTTACCATCTGCTCCTAGATGGTTGAACGCGGGGCGCTGACCGCCGGATTGGCCGGAATTTGAAGAGTTCTGGGGCTTACCATTATTGTTAGGCTTACCACCAGAGAAGGGTTTAGGCTTCGGCGTGAACGGCGCCGAAGAGCCAGATGGCTGAGAGTTGTTTTGCTGGTTAGTAGAACCCTTCTTTGGGTTCCGAGCAATAAAAGGCTTACCAGCCTCACGCTTCTTGGTTTCTTCGCGCTTCCAATAACGGTTGTCAATACAAAGAACTTCTAGACGATAAGCGGCGAGCGTCGCCGGCTCGGGCAACCGCGCCATTTCGTCCTTGATACGTTCAGCCAAGCCTCGTCCATAAGCCCATTTCAGGGCGGCAGAATCCCAGTTGGTGCTAGCAGCCAGGGTGTTGAACCAGATGTTGTACTTCCGGATATTCTCGGTTTCCTTCATCTTAAGGTTACCAAGGGCGTCCTCGGCCTCGCCTTGGGCGTCGTAAACGCCGAAGTTGTCCTGTAGCTCCTTTACAAGGGCCGTGAAGGACGACGTCCAGGCCGGCAGCGAGTCGAGGTCCGGGTCGAGGATATCAGGGACAAACCATTCTTTGGCTGACCCACTGAGATAAGAAAGAGTATAATTCACCTTCCGTTGGTCGGTGAAGTACTTGGGACGGTCATTAAAGACCAGGGCGAGATTGACGAAGAACGTCTTGAGTTTTCGGGGGTCCGAACCGTCGAATACCTCTGGCTCCTTGACTTTGCTCTTAGATTCAGAGCTATCAGAAGGACGGCCGAGAGTGGCGAGGACGGTGCCAAGGGTCTCAATGGAGCCCTTGAACCCCGAGAGGAGTTCCAACATAGCACGTTGCTCGTTGGGGATGTCAGGAGAGATTGGGGAACGGGGTCCACTAGGTCCACCAGGACCGCCGGGACCACCGGGACCACCAGGTCCACCAGGTCCACTGGGGCCACCAGGTTCACCACGCGGTAAACCGCCGGAATCGTCATCCAGATCGTCGTTGTTATTATCGACGCCCGGATCGTCGGGGTCGACAGGAGGGTCTTGATCATCGTGATCACCAGTGTCCAAATCGAAGTGAGGAGGTGGGTCACGAGGAGATTCAGAAGCAGCGCGACGTTGGGGTTGTTTCCCCGTACGGCGGGCTATGGCTTGGAGGATTGGAGAATCAATTCGAGTAGTAGACCGGCCCCAAGCCGGAGCGACCACGGGGGGTTGTCCACGGCGAGGGGTCAGGACTTGAACAGGTTGTCCGTCAGCAGTGTACAAGGTGCTGTACTCAAATTGTTGTTCTTCTTCCATGGCTTCAGGAAGAGTCGACGTAGTAGGAACTGTGGCTGGACCGAAACCGCGATTACGGCGACGTGGTTGACCGATGGCAGAGATAGAGTCGGAGAATGGGGCAAATGATTGAGCTGTAGTGAAGAAAGTATTTTCTTCGGAGTTAGCTCTACACGGGTGCAGCTGAAAGTTAGAAGTTATCTAAACAAGGATTTTGATGCTAAATCTAAACCGATCGAAATAATCTCCGGATCAAATCCTGTCCTACATATGACTATCCTCCACGAGATGGAATAATAGTAGAATTTGTAATAGACCTGTGTGTATCTTGGAGCCAACGTCGAGTCATTCTAAAATTCGCAGTCTATCGCCTTTCCATTCTTCATTATTTGGGTTATTTTTTGGACTTGTGCCAATCAACATATAACACCGCTGCATCTGTGACAGCCCCTAAAATGAAGCCTTTCCAAGATCCTGAATGTAAGTCCTCTCTGAATCCTGCCGGGCATGACACTTCCAATTGATGAATTTATAGTCTGGGAGCCAGGAACTGGCTCAAAGCGCAGTCAATGGTCTTGCTTGGCCTGTGATGACCACGTATGGAGAGATGCAAATTTAGCCCGGCGGCATGAAAATGGGAAAGGTCATCAACAAGCAGTCAAACATCATAGAGAAGCTTCACATTATTCTGCCCCCGATCCGTTTGTCCCTAATCCAGGGACCTCACGCCGTGTGTCTCCGCCACTAGAATCTCTGTTGATGGACCTTTCCGAGGGTCCCTACGAGACCCAAGGTCATGACGAGCCATTCGATTTCGAAAATGTGCAGCCTTCTTCTGATAGGAATACTCAGCCTGTTTATGGCATCACATTTGACCCCACAGAGGATTTCACGCTTCAGCCTTCCGATGTAGAGCGTGGCATGGCACGTTTTGCAGAAGAAATGCATGCCTGGCTTCTTGAAGAGCCTGACTCAGAAAACTCCGAGGATGAAATTGAAGAATGTGATGACCTCGAAGACGACGCATTTGGTGCTTTCAGTCATTATCTTCCAGAATTATGCAGCTCACAAAATGCCATTCACAGTTGGGTATGAATCTGAGGCTGATCATTTGAGATTTGGATCTCAAAGGCCTGCACAACGGATTCGGAATGATCGACCTGAATGGTTTCCCTGGTCAGATAAAGAGGTGTGTATGCATGCATTATCAGCACCACCACTTGCATTCATCCAAAAACTAGAGCTGCATTCTGGATATACTTCGCCATCTTCCCCGATCACTATTTTCTGATGCACAAATGGATATAATCCTTTGGGGTGTTGCTTCCTTTGGTGTTCGGAACCTTCCATCAACTGATGTAGCAAAGAGTGTCGGAAAGTATCTACAGTCTCTCTGCGGTATCAAGACTGAGCGTCAGAAAGGCCCTTTGGGGCATGTATATTACTTGAATGAGCTTGACGGATTGATACGCCAGGTCTGAGATATATCCAAGTTTATTTCTAACAAAAACATCATTGACCATTTTTCTAAAGGAAATGGGTAATCCTGATATACGACCTCACATTCGCCATTACTGTGAAGATAGTGGTCAACATCTTGAACATGCATGGCAAGCGCAAGCTTGGAAAGAGCTTGATCCGACCCTTGCAACACCTATGGTTCGAAAGGGTAATCAGGACTTCTTTGTTCATGAGCTTGCACGCCTTGACAATGGAACCCTGGTTATGCCCTTTCGATGGTTTACACGGAGCTCAGGGGTTCCAGGAGACCAGAAGACGCAAGTTCTGTTCGGATTGGCATGGACTGTCAAAATTGTTCATGTTAATGGCCAAAGTGGCTATATTATTTCCCAGACTAATACCATCCAATTTCCGGTGCATCAACTACAATCATCCTTTCCGTACTTGGTTGAGAGTTGCAACTTGGATCAGATTCCTAGCCCACATAATATTCTTGGTTTGCTTTCTATACTGCTTATCTGATCTGTTGTCCTGATTTATTTGTAGGGATTCTTTCAGAGAATGGCTGCGAGTGTCTTCCTTGGACACTGACTTCCTTCGAAGATGGTTTTGCCAACCACTGGAGAGTGTTGGCGAAGGGCCATGAGGTCTTGACCTTTGCCATGTGGCTATACTGCGACGATACCTCGGGTAATGTCTCAAAAAAGTGGAACAAGCATAATTCGTTCCTATTTACAGCAGCTGGTTTACCTCATGAGCATGTGCATAAGGAGAGCAATGTTCAATTTCTTTGTACCTCGAACCTCGCTCCTCCTCTAGAAATGCTTGACGGAATAACCACCCAACTAGAGTGTGTATACATTACGACCTTCATAACTATTTTGCTTATTCATCCCATCAGACATGGCCAGAAGGAAGGGTTTTGGGTCTGGGATGTTCAAAAGAAGGCAATGGTTTTGATGATCCCTGCCGTTCTTGCGATGCTAGGGGATAACCCAATGCAAAGCGAGTTCTCTTGCCATGTTGGACTGGTTGGGAAGTATTTCTGCCGTTGCTGCTTTGCAAAAGGTCGCGACGCTAATGATGAACAATCAGCTTCTGCAACAAAAGATGTAGCTGACGACACCTCCATTCATTCCAACGCATCAACCGAACAAGAATCAGACTCTGGTGCTGAGAAGAAAGGTGGACGTCGGAAAGAAACCATTCAAGAATTGATCTCCCGGGCTAAACGGTTCATCACGGTATGCATATACTGAAGTATCAATACTGTAATCATCATGGGATCTTTACAGGTTCATGAATCCCGATACCCTCAGAGAACAATTGACACACTCCACAATATGTTCATTACGTCCAGTCAGCTTGGTGGCAAAACCAAAGCCAAAGAAATGACAACAGGAACGGGAGTCAAGGACACCTTCTTTGGACATTTTCAAGATAAAATATTCGCATTTATCAGAAGAATTCCTCATTCGACTCCCACAGAAGAACGACAGGGCCTCGTTGATGACTTCATTGCTCAAAACATACCACCAGAGCCAAGTTGTTTTAGTCCGATCTGGCGTATGAAAGGCAATTCCTTCATAATTTTACTCTTATCACCATGAATAAAATTTAATGTAATTTTAGGCCTTGATCCTCATCGTGACACCCCAGTTGAGATACTCCATGTTATTCTCCTTGGTTTTGTGAAGTACTACTGGCGCGATGCCATAACACGGCTCGATGATCACCAAAAAGAAACACTCAAACATCGCCTCTCTTCATTGGATGTTTCGTCAATGGGTCTTTCTCCTTTGGCCGGGGAAACACTTGTAAAATATGCACGTTCCCTCACAGGTCGAGACTTTCGTGCTATTGCACAAGTTGCGCCCTTTGTTCTTTATGACCTTCTCCCAGCAGAGTGTTATGAAGCTTGGTTAGCGTTGAGTGCACTAATCCCTTTAGTATGGCAACCAGTCATTCTTCATCTTGACACCTACTTGGTATTTTCATCTTATCTATTTGTTATTCATTCTAACCCATGGTCAGGCTACGCTCGAACTGGCTATCCAACGTTTCCTGAATTGTGCTGCACACTGGACACCTCGTTGGTTCAATAAGCCGAAATTTCACATTATCTGTCACCTGCCTATGCATATACGTTGGTTTGGCCCTGCCATGCTATATGCCACCGAAGGCTTTGAATCATTTAATGCTATTATACGTGACCACAGTGTTCATAGCAATCACCAGGCTCCCTCTCGAGATATTGGCAGAGGTTTTGCCCAGTGCAGCCGTGTACGGCACCTATTACACCGAGGGGTCTTCTTCCGGCCTGTTGAAAACCAAGTTGAGCCACACCATCTGCGCTTTAGCGATGACAGCACGCAATGGGTAACAGCTGCAGCTTTGCCCATCGTTTTGGCTCGAACCGGTTTTGGAAAATGGTGCAGCCCTGTTGCCTCTGCTTATGGTCTCAACGTGATTGAAAAAACTGAGCTTCCAATTGGTGAGTAGGCCCTACTCTACCTGGATTTTGAGAGCTAATGCTGCAAGATTCAAGGTCATTGCGTTCACACTAAGCTCACAAAACGGAATCAAACTGTTGAACAGCTACTCACCTCCCAAGTTTTACCCAATCATATTCCTGACGGCCGATATCATGTATATGAACAAGCCATCTCATACACACTTGAACCCTACAAATCCGGAGACTATGTGATTGCTGGGGCCTCAGCAAATATTGATAGCCCCGTTGGTGTGGCTCGTGTGCATGAAATCCTGGTCAATCCCCAATTTTCCTCAGCCACTCTCACTGCCTCAGCTATACTTGTGCAAACGTTCAAACTCGGGCCAATTCATCCTAAATATAAGCTTCACCAACTCATGCCTGCACAATGGGCATTGTTACCTCCACAGGTATGATTACCTGTTTTCGTGTTAAGAATTTGACTGAATGTTTATTATCTAGAACATATTATGTCCTGTTGACACTCAACACAACTGTGCAGGGAACAACTGCGATTTGTCAAACTTTCGTGCAGTTCGTCAAGAACGAGAGCTTACTGAACATCGTTTGCCTCGAACTTGTCACCATAATGACACGGAGCATCAACGGTTGCTCAACACCAACCAAATGCGTAGTGGGGTATTTGTCCAGAGACTTCGTCCAACTATTCCACCATTGGATCCTGATTTGATGATATCCGAAGGAGCAACTCGAGAAATAAAAGCTCAGATGGCAGCTGCCCATAAAGGTAAGACCCGAGCCCAGCCTCTGGTTCGGAATCAGAGTCCTCTGGCTGCAAGGCCTCAAACAGATGCCTTGTCCAGCGGTCCACCTACTAGTAATCCAATCTTGCAGAGGTTTATCGAGGGACAACAGGGTCGACGTCGGGTGGTTACTTGTCAGACATGTGGGCAGCTTGGGCACAACAGCCGGACTTGTGGGAGGAGAGCAGGGGGTGGGATATAAAACAATACATGGAATTTTCAGCCCTAAATAGCCCGATACACACCAAATAATGTACAAAATGAAATAGAGGCTGGTACTTTACTCCATCGATCTGGCGTTCCCCCGTAGCTCCGGCAACAGGACAGGTACCCAGTTTGAGACAAGTGCCGGAAAGACACACAGCTCAAGCACTGTGAGTGGACGTGGTTTGCGAAAGACAAAAACGTTGGGACATAATCGGAAAAACAAGCGTCCATTAAGTGTGGCGCAGGGTGCACATGACATGGTTCACGCGAGTCTGTTTTGTTGACCCGGCGCCTTTGAACTTGCCTTCACTTGTCCTCAAATCTATCCACCTCGTATTTCAGGTTTGTGTCGCCCTCTACCAGGTCTCAGACGCGTCTCGTTATCCTGCAGAAGGACTCGCCGCTGCGTTCACTACCTGGATGTGGCGGCTGAGCCTCTGCAGTCCAACGTTGGACGTGTCTTTCATTTTTGTGTCATCTACATCTTGGCCTGAGCTTATGCGGCGTACACCACAGATATTACTCCCTGATCTGGCTTTTCTCAGCTGCTGATTGCTGCCAGGTGCGTGACCAAGTCTGTAAAGCTTGTATCAATTGCTAACATGCTTCTTCCGCATCTCCATCCACCCTACTCTACATCGCGTCCCTTGCTCAACACCCCATCGACCTCAACGCCGAATCCATCGACCTCAACGCCGAATCCATCGACCTCAACGCCGAATCCATCGACCTCAACGCCGAATCCATCAACTCATTGCCGAACTCGTCGACCTCCAACGCCGAATTCATCCACCCTTCCAAACGTCTCTATCCACGTCCTCAGCGTCTCACAACAAGACCCCTCTCGTGTAGCCTGATTCAGCAGTGGCTCAGAACGGCTTCATGACCTCCACAAGCGCCAGCCTTTCCGCCTGGACGATTTCCGGCAAGACTACGTCGTGCACCTCGTTTGACCATGCGATATCAACAGACGTCCACCTCTCAACACTTCTTGCATCCGTTCATAGCCGCGATGAGCCGACGAGTGAAGACGAGGAGCTCAACAACAGCTCAGTAGATGACCTGCTCTCCGCGTTCTCTGCCGAGAGCCAGCGTGTCTCTCCGGAGCAGGAACCCCGTCTACCACCTGAGGCAGCTTCTAGGTTCACCTCAGCCCGTCCCTCCGTCGAATTTTCCCTCAATCATCTCCCCTATTCCGCCCCTTTCCCTCCCTTTCCGAAAACGTCCCCGCGCGAAACCGCACATGCCTCGGGCAGGCTTCTAGAACCCCCAACCACTCTGTTCCCCTTTGACAACTCCCAGTGCGAAACGAGACGCGTGTCGGGCGGACTTCCAGAAACCCCCTCGGCTCCATGTTCCGTCGAAAAAAGTTCCAACCCCAAACGCCATACCTCTGTTCCAACGAAGCGCCAGCGAAAACGCAAGACGAAACACGCCCCGGACATGGAACCGCAGGCTCCATCCCATGCTCCCTCGCTTCCCTCTCCACCCCCCGCTTCTTCTTCTTCCTCGAAACGAAAACTCGACGCTCTTGATGGATGGCCCTCTCTGGAAGATGAGGCGGAGTCCAAGCAGCGGTACAACAACAAACGTCGTCGTATACGACGGAAGGAGCAAGCGGCGTTGAAGGGGGTCACTCGTGGCCACGAACTGGCTTTCAAGAAATACGTCTTACCAGCCAAGTCTCAGGAGACGGCCCTACGTAGTGAAGAGCTTCCCTTTGCTTCGGGTGGGTACCTCGCCGTTGACAACGCCTTCCATGGTGCACAGGTCCGCCGTGACCTAGAGAGGATGAAGGCTGAAGGGTTTCGGCTGGTGACATCGGAGGACGGGTGGGAGTTTTCAACTCTCCTGAGGGTTTATATTCATTCAATGATTTGTAGAATGTCCGTTCCTCTCACCGACGGGGAAAACCGTATCATGGCTTGTGTGCTCTATGGGTCTTCCAGCAAGAGCTATCGAGATTCAGTTCAGACCATGGCTGATGCAATCCTCGATACGGGAAAGCAGACCAAGTGGAAGCGAGCAGAGAAGAAGCATAAACGCGGGCACTTCCCTGCACTTGCTCGAGGTATTTCATTTGGGAAGGGTCAACCAGAGCCTATGCGGTTGAGTGATGAACGCCAACCCCTGATGGAAGAGCTTCTGCAAATGCCTTGCTTTCGACAAGTTGCTGGTCATCAGAGTGGTGAATAATACAACTACTTTTACCTACTGCCTCACTGACGTATATCACCAGCTGCATTAGCTACGTGGTTCCCGAAGAGCTATCTTGAGCACCAGCGCATCAACCGGGAGCTCGAAGAGAAGCTCCCACACCTGCAACGCAATTTTGACAACAGTGTTTATCAGAGTATGACGGTCAACTTTGGGCCAGCTACATGGACCCATATTCATACAGATTCTATGAACGACGTTCGGATTCCATGTGCAATAACCTCTGGTGGAAAGTACAACTACAAGCTCGGTGGACACCTGATTCTTTGGGACCTCAAGGTTGTCATAGAATTTCCTCCAGGCGCAACCATTCTTCTTTCTTCAGCTCTCCTCCGACATTCTAATTTACCTGTGGCACCAGGGGAAACTCGCATTTCGGTTACTCAGTATACAGCTGGGGGTATCCGACGCCGGTTGGACTACGGAGGAAGGACTGAAGAGGCATTTCAGGCTCAGGATCCTGAGGGGTTTTCTATTGCATGGGCTAAACGCCGTGAAGGCTGGAAGGAGAGCTTACAGTTCTTTGGCACTCTGGAAGAGCTAAAATTGAATGCATTGTAAACCAAGTTTCTAGATACAAACGACATTGTAGATAATATATGAAAGCTTAAACTCTCCATGCCTCGTCCTCAAGTTCGAGCAACTGTTTGGCTACTGCAGTGTGGAACAAATTTGGTTGCTGTTCAGCCTTGATGGAAAGGCCCTCGGCAGTGGACTTCGAGAAAATTTCAGATGAAGGGGTCAGGAGTCGGAGAGACTCTGCCACAGCAACTGCAGGATTGTGCTCATTGAGTAGAATTCTGGCTACATTCCCACGAAGAAGCTTTTCGCGGCCCAGCTGAACCTTCAACTCCTCGATATTTGACAGATATTTGTTGTTCTCAGAGGTGCCGAGACGTCGTTCCAAATCCTCGATGGTCTTCAACTGCTTCAGATGCTGCTCCCTATGCTCGACCTCTGCCTCCATTTGTGATTTATAAAGACGCAAGCCCAACTCCTTTATGACATATACTTGCCTCTTGTTGCGGTGAAGCGAGTCCGAATGAAATTTCCTGTTTTCAGCAATCTCATCCTCTTGGAGCATTAGCTGCATCTGACTTCTCCGCAGATCTTTCTGGGCATGATGAAATGCAACCTTGTACTGGACCATCTTCCGTGCTTTGTGAATGTCATAAACCTCTTTTGATGAGATGGCACGAACAAACTTGTCGAGTTTGCAAAGTCGCTTCTGCTGGGATTTGTTGATGCTTTGCTGAGCACGACAATGGGTACGGAGGTTATGAAGCTCGATCAGTGCATCTTCCAGGTCTAAACAAGAAAATCAGATACGCCGGGCGGATTATATCAAGCTCAATTACCAGAAGGAACAGATGATCTGGGTTTGATATCACTGATTAGGCTCTCAGGCGCCTCAAGCCCAGAGTTGTAGGAGATATTGTCACCATCCATGTCGAAGTCCTCAACATCGAAACCGCAGGTGTCAGCAACAACGCCCAAGTATCCTCCTGAACCTATATCTGCATTTTCAGTGCCGCTACATAATCAAAAAAAGTTAGCCAATCAACTTTATAGCTGTAAGTTTTCCTTACATGCCAGAGTTCGTGAGTGCCTCATTTAATCCAGGATAAATCATGGAGGAAGGCATCTCAAGGACGACGCTGTCATTTATAGACTTGATCTGCTCTAGAGACGGGATAGAGTTGTTCTCATCTCTGAGCTGCTGAACCGGCATCGAGGAGGAGCTTTCGAGAGAGGTTATAACTGCAGAGGACATCACAAAGATTCCGATATGCACTTTGGGCTTTCGCAAGAGTATACGCTGTGCAGTTGAGGCCACGTGTTTTTTGAAACTTGTTCCATTTTCTTTGTTGACTCCTTTCTTTCTGTCTGCCATGTCGCGGCCTGTGTTCACTTTCAGTGACTCTCCTTTTCAACCCCCTCAGCTTCCCATCAATGCTCTACCAAATACACCGAATACTGGTACAGTACGATTCAACACTGCTTCGCCATATGTGTTGCCTCAGCCTCCCATCTCAAACCCCGGTTCACGTCTTCAGACTTATTCTGACTCAAGCCTTGATCATCACGGCACATCGGAAATGCAGACTCCTGGGGTAGAACATGGTAGCTGCGCTTTTTTACCCTCTTTATGGTGCTCAAAAAAATTCACAGGAACATGGGAGGATGAATGTGATGAGCTTAATGAGGACAATACGAGCTACTCCGCTGCGATAGGCCCTGATGAGAATAATTCCAACATAAGTTTGACCCCCCAAAAACGTTCAGAAGGAGAGACCACAGATCTCATGAGTTGGGTGGATGGCATCCAATCTCACTATTCTCTAACCCCAATGCAAGTTCGGGAGCTCAAAGGGATGGTCGCAGTATGAATTTTCATTGAATGCCCTTACGGTGCTGATTGTTGTCTAGATTGCTGGCTGGGTAGAGACGGGACAACTCAAGATAAACTGTCTGCAATATGCAGCGACCTGCCGTATCGAAAACAAGTTCGAAGCGCAGCATACAGATTCAACTTCAGTCAAAGAAGTTGTCAATGGAGCTCTGAAGCAAATCAACAAAGGGTATGAGGTTCCCAGACATGTCAAGGTATTCCTTGTTCAACAGCGATTCATTGACATTGTATCCACTGACACCCACCCACAGGCAATCATTCGATCCATTGCACGGGATGAATGTGCGAAGCCTACACGTCTGAGTTACGGCGACATCATTCCTGCAGTATGGGTAGGTCAACGACGTTTTCATGAGCCATCAGTTTTAACTCTCCTTATGTTAGGAACGTTGCAAGACTGAAGCAGGGCAGCATGAATTTACAGACATATTGGCAAAAACAGGATCGGCCACTGCATTAAAAAAAGAAGCGGAGTCTCTTACAGGAAAAATGCTCCAACAATTCCGAGACGATGCAAGTTTTTGTGACGTCGATATGTTGTTGTATTTGCTAACACATGCTTAGATCTTTGCAACCATTATTGACGAAACCGGAAAAAGGGGGCTCTCAACGCTGGAGCAGGCAACCGTCGCCTTGGTTCAAAAATATGTCCAAGGAGGCTTGGGATCGAGTAATGGGCATCTGTACCAGTTCCGATTTGCTATCCTGGTGAGTTCCCGAGCTCATACTCACATTCTTGCTAATCATAAGTTTTTCAGCGTCGATTTTTACGTGAACGGTGTTGTGAGGAGGATGGTCCAATTCTCAAGAAGCAGAAAAACCTCGCGGGTAAACAAGCAAAGGAGGCTTCATTCTGGGGCCGCGTGGATGCATTCCTTGACGGACTCAAATGTGAATTCAAAAGTAATGACCTCCGGACAGATAAGTGGACGGCGTGAGTGCTTTGTATTGTGTCTCGCCATTTTATTAATCGTGCTTTGACAGATACCTTGTCGAAACTATACAAGAAGATTGGAAACGATTCGGAAACCCGTCACGAGCTTTACCACCCCTTCCCCTTTCCATTGATTCATTGGAGAGCCATTCACCTTCACGCAATGGTGAACCACCCTCGCCGGAAAACTCGACCTCATCGCTACAAAGCAACTTTCGGGAGCCATTACAGACTCTAGCAAACGAGGTCAGCAAACGCAAGCGAGGAGCCATTGAGAAGAATGATTATCTGGCATTCTGATGCCCACATATAGTCCCATATATATATGTTTTGTTCGTTTGTAGTCTGATAACCTTTCAATGCAATCGTTCCATCTTTTTGTGCTATATTGTATACACCAGAAAGCCGGGAAGCTTCGGAATTTTCGGGATTTATAGGAAATGACATGAATCTGCAGTCTATGTTACTTCTATATACTGCATACAATCTATCTGAGTCGCATAGAAGGAATTCATCGGCAGTCTATCAAATGAGTATCTTTCTGAGTATCATCTTTAGATAAGTTCGTGCAAGGATGGCTTTGATCTATTCAACCGAAAGTCTGTGAATCAAAATTCCAGATATCATCAAAAGATGAAATTCTGCCGCGCCTGTGTAGATTGAGCTCGAGTTTTCGGAGGCATAAAAAATGATATGTCAGTACGACGTTAACGGATTGAGTTTAATTATACTGTTAAGATCATGCAACCTGTGTAACCGTGCCAAAGCCACAAGGTGTCTAAGTGCGGAAGACGAGTGGGACAGTAGTGAAGTTATTAACAACACCGCCGTTACGCCGTTAGTCCCCGGAGAGCGAGAGTAGAGAGAGAGAGGCTAAGTAGCAGCCAGGTCGGAGCGGCGGTATCGCCAATGACGAGGAGCGAACCAGAGGACGTTCAAGTCCTAAGGTCGAGGGGAACGTACTTCGAGGCGTTGAGCCTGAAGACTTAGAGAAGAGTTAAGTTGAGAAGGGAGATCTAAGTTGATAATTAAACTGAGGAACTACAGTAGCGTACAAGCAGTATTTATATCTACGGAGCGGGGCGGAGCGCCAGACTAACTACTAGGAGTTATACGTGTAGTCCTGCAGGGTAAAGTAAAAGACAATAAAGAGGGACTAGAGTGAAAGGGTATGTGTAGCGAGAAAGAACAATAAGGAAGAGATTACAATAAAGGTGGATCTTCGGAATACCGAGCGGCGGAATGGAGGCCCGAGGCATGGGCTTGACACTTCTGCAGTTCGTCTTCTATGGAAGAATCATCAGCTTTACCCCAGAAAAATGACAGGTTTCATACCTGTGTCACTTGAAACACCGTCATGATCATCATCGAAGGTGTGTCCTACTCCTTCGAAGTCTTCGAAATCCATTGAGGGTGGGTTATCCTCAGCAGGGCTAATGCTTTTGAATCTTTTCCTCTGCTTCGTCCTTTGTGTAGACACCCTCTGAGAGGTATCTTCGTCCTCCTCAGGTTCACTAGACATATCCTCAAGCCCATACTGTCTCTCGAACTCTCTCTGTTGTAGCATATCTGCCTTGGACAATCCCATCGCCCCAGCAAAGACTTGTTCATCGAGGGTGAGAGGCAGTTGGTCCGCAGTCAGAGGTTTCGATCTACGTGCACGTTGAGCTGTTTGGGATAAGGTTTGATTTTGGAAAGCCATAAGTTGCTCTGCTGCTGCAATGTCTGTTTCGCAAGGGGTTTTTGGGTGCAATATTTGCATCTGTTCATAAGCTGGGGTGCCTTTGTAAACAGGAATTGGTTTGGGTCGTGCTTTTTGTGAAGGAGGGGGAACAGGTGCAGGCCCTGATGAATGCGGCATGTCTAGCTGGCCATGCAAATTGGCCCTACTATTTCTTTGCTTTCGAGTCCCTGTCCCGCCTTTGTTGCCTCGTTTATGGTTACGATCATTTGCCATGGAAAGAGGAGGCAAGCAGGTTGGAGGTTAGTGATTATTAGCCGCTTGCCTCAACATCTCTCATCACAGAATTTCATGCTACTTTTTACATGGGGCGCACTACATGCACCCTCTATGCATATCATATTCGAAGAGCTAATAGAATTGTTCATTATTGTCTCAGTTATCATGTCTCCGAAGCTGAGGAGATGCAAAAATCCTAAGTAGTGTGATTTATTTATTCTTACAAAAATAACCATGGGGCGCACTGGAGCCCACTTATCGCTACATGGTACACTAAATTTCTAAGGATTCCGTGGAGAATTGAGCTCGTAATCGTGTTTTCGCGCTGGGCACCGTTTCGTACTCAATTTTTGCGTCGTGAGAAGAGGCGCCAACTATTTTGAAAACGGCAATAATGTATCCTTATCTGTACAGTATCAAGATTTCCTGCGAAGGTGTGTCACCAGTGTTGACTTGATTTTCCACACTTACGGATTTGCAGGTTGCTTACTGATGCAGAATTCCGCCTCGGTCGAAGAGATTTCGCAGAAATTACTAACCATCCGTTTTTCGTCGGTGTGGATTGGCATACTCTTCCCCAACGTGTGTCTATGCCTTTCATGTCATTCACCGTCATTTCGCCGAACTGAACCTCATGCAGAAACGAAACCATCAAATCTTCATCTTCCGCAGTTCACATACTCAATACCTGAAGCCAAAGTTGATACGTCCGAACGACCATCAGAAGAATTCTCCCAACCTTTCGCATTCTCAGCTTTATTTCAATCTTCGGCAGCGTCATCCTCCCCAGGACTTTCTATCTTTCATGACACTCCCTCATTCAAGGGAAGCGGTCCCCTTTCTGAAAGCAGTACTAGCGCCGCTTCTTTTATCGGTTTCTCTTGGGGACCTACCAAGGATGCTTTCCCGGATGTGCACATGACAGAAAACGCTGAGAACGAGCAACGAAGTCCCACCGGACTATCACCCGCGCCGTTACCCAAGTGGAATAGTACACCTCGTCCTCTTCGTATTCCCTCGGCCTGGCTTACTCCGACTCCGCAAGGACGAAGTTTGCCCCAGCCTATTAGTAACATGGCCCGCCTGACAACCCCTTCGATTCCAAGTCATGCTCACGCGTTCAGCACCCCAGTCCGGCCTACAACCACAGGTATTAGATAATGATAAGTGTATGAACTGGTGAAATGTTCTACAGGTGAAGGTTGGTTTGTGTATCTACATGAATGGATTCAAGGAAAGTGAATGGAACCAAAGGAAGAGCTTAGCAAGTCACCTAAGCAGAGCCAATGTGTCATCACTGACAGAAATTTACCCGCTCTGAGTGTGCCCATTCTTGAATGCATCAATCTGTCGCTCCAGCCTTTCCCTCTCTGCTTTCCACTCTGCCCTCTCTGCCTTCAGCTCCTCTTCCTTCTTCTCAAGCTTGTCCTCCTTCTTGTGGATTTTCATCTCCAGCTTTTCCCTCTCCTCCTTCCGCTCCTTCTCCAGCTTCTCCCTCTCCAACTTCCACTCATCCTCCTTCTTTTCCAACTTTTCCCTCTCCTTCTCCAGCTTTTCCCTTTCCTCCTTCCGCTCCTTCTCCAGCTTTTCCCTCTCCTCCTTCCGCTCCTTCTCCAGCTTCTCCCTCTCCAACTTCCACTCCTCCTCCTTCTTGTCGATTTTCATCTCCAACTTTTCCCTCTCCAACTTCCACTCATCCTCCTTCTTCTCCATCTTCACCTCCAGCTTCACAATATTCTTCTCCAGCTTTGCCTTCTCTTCTTTTATCTCAACCTCCCTTGGCTTCTGACCAAAACTTGAATGACCCTGTACGGAGCTAGAGTGAAATGAGTCAGGGCTTTGAGGCGGGTGCATGTCCGTCAGATCCATGGTCCTGGACTCGTAGGATTGAGACTGCGACCGAGAGTGGTTCTTAGGTCTCGATAAGGACTGCTGGGGAGAGGAAGCTTCCAGACTGGGATTAGCTCGCTAGAGAAGAAACAAAGAAAAATGAGCATACATGCGGGGCCGAAATTTTGCTGGTAAGAGCTGTGCATCGAGCTCGAGCTATCCGTCCCGAAAGAGTCGTGATTTCCAATACTAAAAGGAAAACTACCCCCACTCGAGTCCGTACTACAGTTGCCAGATAGTTGCGAGATTTCAGGTCCCGAGGTATTGTCCGGCGTGTTCACCGTGATAGATGAGAGTGGTGAGTGGCGGGGTGGACGATAACCAGATTTAGATCTTGTGAAAAGATGCGGGGCGATATGGCGAACGACAAGGGACATGCAGCGCGTGACCGTGACCACCCTCGACCACGTGGCCTCTCAATTACGATTTCTCATCCTTTCGTCTGAATTCTCTCCCTCCTTCCTAATTTGACTCGAGTATTTCAACAACGATCTGGGACCGATTCGCAAGAGAAAGAGAAGGTAATTGAACGGATTGGAGATTGGGTCGGATGAGTGACGAGAAGGCGGTACTGAAGGCAATGGGTTAAAGGTTGTGTTGTGGCGGGTTCGCGTGGATTTATCTTGGGTAGCGGGTGCGCTTTGCAGAGGATCCACCTGGGATCCACGAGTCAAAACTGATGCAAATGCTTCAGTTTTATGTCCATTGGAATCAGGTTGAAAACTATTACCTTATCCATTCTACTATCTACAAGCGAGGTGTTATGTAACCTCGCAAGGGTGCGCTAGTTCAAATCGGCTGAATTCAAATTGATTTCCGTCTCGGCTATTGTCGATCTATCCTGGACCGTTTTCCGGTTTAATTTCTATAATCATCCTAAAGCCTGTTTGAGAGCATTGAATCCAATCCGTGTTGCATAAATCACAGTCGATATCTTGCTCTACTGTTAGGTGGGTGTTTGCCAGACAATTTGGCACTATCCTCAGCTAGCTACAGTATCCCGAGAACTCCAGCACTCCGAAAATAAACTGCAGAATCGATGCTTCTTTTCCAGCTCGGCGAGTGACCTCATCATTTGTAATTCAAAAAAAGTTCAGGCAATACTCAGAGTCTCGGCGAACCTGTGTCATTCACCCCCGAACGTTGACCGAGGTAGTAGAAATACCTGATCAGAATGTTTTTTGACGTTCGCAGTGAATCCGTCCCTCTCACCATTTTGGTTTTTCCATTCTCCCTTGGAAATGTCCCACTCGCCAGAGCCGAAGAACCCTGTTGAAAAAGAAACTAGCAGTCAGGCCGTATCAGAGACAGACGCCTCGGCGTCGAACAACGAGATGAAGAAAGAGAGCCCCGCTAATCCAGTACCCTTGGACTTTCCTGAAGGTGGCCTTGCTGGATGGGCCACGGTTTTGGGAGCGTGAGTACCGCATCTTGGCCCAGTTAGGTTGTGAAAAGTCGTTGAACGTACAATAGATTTCTTGTGCAGTTCTGTGGATTTGGGTGAGTATTTCATCCCGATAGTGCTTGTGCTTTTTTCTAAACACTCTGTCAAGTTATTCGGCATCCTTTGGTGTTTACCAAGGTCTGTTGAAACATCCCATGTCCCGCAATCGCGTTTACTTAACTTCTTCGCTCAGCTTATTACACCACGGTATACATCACTAATGAGACCGCCTCTACAATTTCGTGTGTATCATGTTAAACATATACAAGCTGTGTCGAAGGGGCTCATAAAGACTTGATATGAAGATGGATCGGTGGCGTAAACGCGTCAATGTCAATATTCATCGGTTTGGTATCAGGAAGGCTTTTCGACAAAGGATACTTGTGAGTTCCATATTCTCATCTGGTCCATCCATACCTAACGCTGTTTCCTCTATCTGTTAGTTATCACATGGTATGGGGAGGCGCTGTACTGGATATCGTGTGTCTATGGCTTTTATGTCTTGCTAAACCAGATAGCTTCTACCAGGTTCGATGCTGATTTCCTTTTTTATCATGATGCCTCGATTCACCTCTTCCCCTTAGAATTTCCTCGCGCAAGGTCTCGGTTGCGGAATTGCGCAAGGAATGATGTACCTTCCCTGTATCGCCGTCGTATCACATTATTTCAGACAACGACGCGCACTCGCTATGACCATAGTCGCATCTGGATCGTCAATGGGGTCTATCATACAACCTATCATGCTTAATAACCTTCTGAACACGAATGGGTTCAAGACTGCGGCCGTCGCCAATGCTGCTTTGCTCACGGGTATACTGGTCATTGCGTGTGCCCTGATGCGCACGAGGCTTCCCCCTCCGCCTACGTTGATGCCTTTCAAGACCGCTATCATCAAGTTCTCTAAAGATGGAGCCTATGTCATGGGCTGTTTAGGGTTTGTTTTTTTTTCTTGTTTTCGAACACGAGTGTTGATCTTTGTTGCGTAGTCTGATCATCTTTTCCATTGGCTACTACTATCCGTTATTCTACATCCAACTCGACGCCGAGAAACACGGTCTTTCCTCCCACATCAACTTCTACGTCGTGAATACTCTTTCCTCCTTATATACATCATGAAATGAGACTGATCATCTTCGTTGTCTTTTTTTTTCTTTCTTTATCGTTGCGGTTGCAGTTGGTCATTTTGAACGTGTTCAGCTTCCTTGGACGTCTCAGTCCTGGTTTTCTCGCTAACAAAGTTGGTGTGCCAAATCTCATTACGATGGGCATGTTCGGGTGCTCCGTTGTAATGTTAGGCATGATCGGAGCGAAATCTGTAGGCAGCTTCATCGTCATTGCTATTCTCTATGGATATTGCGCAGGAACATGTGCGATTTGATATCTCTGTCCCCCCCTCTAACCCTTCTGATTCTTTTGAATTCACCAGTTATATCTCTTGCTAATCCCCTCCTGGCTGGATTCGCTACAGACCAGATGGAAGTTGGGTGAGTGCTTGTTCAACACGAAGAAGGCTGCCTTCGACCTGCGTTTCCTGTGGCTGATGATTTATTCAGCGCTCGTATGGGCATTGGCTTCACTCTTTCCGGTATCGGTGCTCTAGTCGGTGCGTAGAGCTTGACTCAACACTCTCATTCCTAAAACTTCCGCTCATTTATTGGCGAAACAGGTGGATCTATCGAGGGAGCTCTTCTGACGACCGAGTACGTTTGGTGGAAGCCTGCCGTGTTCAGTGGTGTAAGTCCCTCATCCATTTAATTTCCTTGCTCTGGGCATGTCACGGACTTCGTACCTTATCTTTTTGATTCAAATGACTGATCGGTTCATTTCATTAGGTATTCGCACTCGCTGGAGTAGCCCTCATGGTAGTAATGCTGATCATGATTTACGAGCGCAAAAAGGCAAAGGCAAAAGCGGCCGCTACTGCTAATGCTTCTGAGAAGGCATAAGTTAGGCAAGCGATCCTCGAAATCTTTCGACTGGATTGTTGATATTTTCGACCGCTTTACAAATGGCATACACACCGCATACATATTACCCCTATCTCACAGTACCTCTGCTATACCTTCCGTGCAATTGTATAAACCTTTTCCACCCCCGTGCAAGTACGCTTGCATTAGAATATCTATATAGTCCATAGTCTGTCATACTTTAATTTCGACCCAGATACTTGTATTCGAGACGTGTTTTGCCTCGGGCTGTCAATGACGCGTACTGCTGTGTGTTTGTCCGAGAGCCACGTCTACTTGCCTCTCCCCTCTTATCTGTAATATGCCCATGTCCTGGTGAGACATATTACCTAGTTGCATAATTACAAGGCCCGCGTGTTTCAGATTGTCGGTAGATGGCTGCTGGACATCTGCGATCTGATCTTGCACAGGCGATCCCTCTCCCAAAAGCCACATGGATTGTAGGAGGCCAACCATGTTCAGCTGTGGGTTTATCATGCTGGGATTAGGTTCGGAAGTGACATAAATTTGCACAAATGATTGCGAAGTTTTGAGACAATTGATGAATCACGCCGAAGAATTGGACAAACATTGAGATGTTCATTGGAAATATAAGCAATGACAGGTGTGAATGAGATACGTACTTGCAAGTTCATTAGGCAACTCCCCTGGATCCGTTAAACGTACTGGTACTAGATTTATTCGGTCGGTTCTTTCTATACCACCACCATCACCCCCCCTACCTTCGGCTCCTCCTTTTCTTCACAAAAACCGACCAGCTCCCGACCCTCCTCGTCATCCATCACCCCATCCATCATCATCACATCCATCACATCCACATCCACATCCCCTGAGGAGATCGTATCTTCTCCACTGTCTTGGTGTTTCTTGTCAGCTCGTATTTGTTGTTCATCTCGCGCATCTACATCGCTTCTTGCTTCTCTGAGAAAGGAGGGAATGGAGGATCTCCTTATTCCTCTACCACCACCACCACCACCACCGCCGCCACTATATCGACCAATCCTCGACCTCGGTAGGTACAAAGCCTCGACACGTTCGGGGACTGGGGATAGGTTTGTTGTGTGGTTCTCTGCAGGTGCAGGTGTAGTTGACGTACTAGCAGTGGTAGCACTTGTAGAAGGAGTGGTATCTGTGCTCACAGAACCCCCCGGAGGATGTGTACCGCGAGAAAACTGCCAAACAGGGGCAAGAGGTGGAACAGGAGGAGCGAAGGAACTACGGGGCACAAGGACACCCAAACGCGGCTGTGCAAGAGGGAGAGGGAGCGGGATGAATGATTTTCGGGGGATGGGGAGGGGTACGGAGGATAACGCAGTTGACAATCGTCGCGAGGAGCACGAATTTAACGATGATCGCAAGGGTCGCGAGGATAGTCGGGGTAAGGAGGACCGGGAAGACCGGGACGATGAGATCGAGGAACACGGTAGGGAAGAACGGTGTAAAGACAAATACGAGGGGTTTGAGTTCGAGTTGTGGTTCGAGCCTGACCCTGACCGGGTTCGGGAATGGGTGTGGACACTCAGACGGGTGCGGGATGGACGGGATGGACGGAGGAGACGGGGAGGACGGGAAACAGCTGATGTTGATGTTGATGTTGACGTTGTCCTTAACGTTGATGTCGAGGAGGATGAAGGCAAGGCGGTGTTGGAAGACCGAAAAGGAACAGCAAAATTGAACGTCTTGGACGATGGGACGGTGGGTTTCTTCGATATCGATGAGAGGGGGGTGGTTGCTGCAGGATGCGCAGGTGGAGGGGGTGGGGGAGGGAGTTTATTCTGGATTCGTTGTGCTTTGGAGGCGAAGCTTTAATGTAAAACGAGTAATCAATTAAAAGCAAAGAAGGAAAAAAGGACGTTCGTTGAACTCACTTAACGCTCCTAACGAGATCACCCCGGAACTTAACCCCCGGAGCCAGACATACGATGAGCAGCGCTAAAGAAGTGCCGCCTAGAGCGTCGGAGAGTAGACGCGTGAGGTTGGAGGAGCGGTAGGGGATTCTTGCACCACTCCCCCCACTCTTCTCATTCAACGCCCCCACGACCTGTCCCAACGCCGACAAACTCGTATTAATCGCCGCGCTCTCCCGCATCCTCTGTGGATCGTTCCCCGTGAGGTTGTTGTTCTCTGACCCAGCCAGGTCCAGGAGGTGCAGTTTACCTCTCGCTCCGATGTAGAACGTCAACACCGCGTGGCTGCGGGAGGAACCGGAGTTCAGCAGTGTTGCCCCGGTGGAGCGGTGGCGCACTCCTCTTTGGTAGAGGGTGTGGAACTCCGCAACGGAGGAGATCGGGTGCGTGGACAGGTGGGGGAGGTGGATTGTGTGTCCGAAAGTGGTATTTTTGGGATTGGGATTCGTCCCACGCGATACGGTAGATAGAATTTGGAGTTTCCTCCGTTGAGTGGGGGGTACAAGGAGGTCATAGGGTGCGTCGAGGTATAATTCCAAATATGACATTGAAATATCCAATTCCCCTTCTCCTTTGAACAACTCATCCACAACCATCCCGATAATCCCTTCCTCCCCCTGCATGGTGTGTGTTTTCCCGGAACTCGTCACACCATATGCGAATATTGTCACTGTCGACCCACCCAATACGTTGTTGAGCAGCGGTAACACGTCCCGCGTGAATAGCGCCGCGGAGGTGGAGTGCGGGGTGTACGCAGAATGAAAGGGGTAGTGCTGGGTTTGTTGGGTTAAACTCGATGATGAAGGGTCTTTGAGGATTAGAATTCCGGGTGCGAGGTCGGAGGGTTGGGTGTCGTTCACGTTCTCTTTTTCCTTCTCACCACCACGATGCACATGCGAAACAACACGCACCCCATCATCACACACTTCTCCAGGTAATGGAGGCCGGAGACGTGCGATAACTCGGACTCTTGCGGCTGGGGTTATTGCCATTTGTCACCACGCGACGACGCGAGGGAGATACTAGACCACAAGAGGAGGGTGCCACAGCGCAAGGGAGAGATACAAACAGCGCAAGAGGGAGACGCGATACGACGCGACTGACGGTGTATAGAAATGTCAAGTTGGAGATGAGGGAGGTCGAGAACGCGTGTGTGTGCTCTGTCGCTGCGAAGGGTTTGTTGAGAAAACGCAAGCAAAAGAATAGGAGTGAGAATAGGAAAAGAACAGTTACGGAGTGGAGTGGTTTACAAAAAATTTGAATTATTGAACGATCACGTGTAGTTCACGCCACGCTAATTAAATACAGCTCCACCGTTGTTTATATGTGTACGTGTAGTAGTACAAGTATCATATGCAGCGAAATCGAGAGTCGGTACCCTTCCTTCAGGGCCGATAGATTGCTTTGTAGATGCCTTGGTCGTCGTGTGCGTCGAGTCCAAAAGAGTGGCTTTCGACTCGTCGTCGGCGAGGGTTTGGACAGATCTTTCATCTTGAGACATCTACAACAGAGAAGGGAAAGGAAGGAAAGACTTTGCAAAACCACGCAAGAGACTCGGGGAACTAAATAACTGTCAATGGCGTTGCTGTTCCAAACCCAAGTCAATAGGCGCCACAGGACGGCAACACTGGTCGTCGAACATGTAGCCAGATTTCTTTAATCGAGCAAGGGCGTATATATAACTTTTGGATGCGAGAGAAGACGATGATATGCGGAAGGTAATATGACCCACGAAGAGACATATTTAGGCTTGTAATTGCGATCGCAGTGTAATTGGGCCGCCTGAGGTTGAAGGTGATGAACAACGAATGGAAAGTAAAGCGGGAAAGAATCTCAACGGATGCAAACACAGTCTAGGTCTGACCTCAGTATCTCGCGTCCTTCCTCCGATGTTTACCATGTCCATGCCATGCTATAGAGAAATCAAATAAGTTGGCGTGATTGAAGCGGTGTGAAGATGGAAATCCTTTGGGTCTTTGGATATTTGAATCCTTGTCAATGATCACTCTAGCAGCACAATCGACAACCTCGAGACCTCTCCAGACGTCGCCACGTCCACACGTGGCACCCTATAGGGCTTCCGCCATCTGGACGAAATGAATAGCGGATTTCGAGCATGAACAATGAGGGGACTATTATGATTTTCGCGGTAGTATGTAATAGATAGCGAAGTGTTGAAGCATCGTCGGAAGAAGCACGAAAAGGTCGGACTTGACCGTGTGAATCATCATCCTGAGCTTGTTCTCTACGATGCGTGTACACCTTATAGATGCTTTGACTGGTACGCGGACTGCTTCGTAGCTCATAAGTTTCTTCGAGCGCTAATTAGCCGCCAGAGTCACAGATCGACGAGGCCGTTCCGCTTATAGTCAACACTTTCTGCAACGACGAAGGAGGTTCATGTGGTTTTCATTGATTATCCAAGGCTAGTTTACGGGAGAATACCAATACTTATTTTTCGTAGAAATCGAGGAACTCGTAATGAAATGCTACACCGGCAACGATATCGACATTCTCAAGCTCTATGCGAGAGCCATTGTGCAAGCTGCCAACTTGGTGGGCCATATTTTCGTCACAACTGAAAGGGATCTATGGCCTGCCCCCATGATATCTGCTGCTTTCTGCTGGGAGCCGGGTCAATCTCTTTGGGCAACGTATGTCGGATCTGCTGATCGCTCTCTCCATTTATTCACTAACCTCTTTTGAAGGAAGGAACAACGAGAACTTGGCTTTGACCAACTTTCCGCCGCTATATCTCCGGATACTCGCGCATTTTGGGGGGAGGTTGGAATCTCAAACTAGTTGGCTCTTCGACTGAGTTTATATTCACCGCATAGGTCAAGCAAGTAGGCGATACACTCAAAGCCGAGCACGGGCTCTCCTTAGTATGCTAGGTTAGTTTCATATAACAAGAAACGAGATCAAGAAAAATTCTAGATGCCAACGGATACGTTCTACGTGAATATGCTTGTCACAGATCGCCACTTCCAGAATCGTGGGTTCGGTACAGCAGTCATGAAGGCCGTACTAGCATTCGTACGTCCGCTGTGTTGATATCATCGTGGTAAACTCACAATATCCTAGGCAGCTAAGGACGGAAGAGGGTGGGATGTTGGTCTTATCACTCAGAGTCCTGAAAATGTGCGTGATTCTGCACGGAGGGTCCAGCGTTCTAATTCACTCCGTTTCAGCGAGATTGGTATGTAAGCCTAGGCTTCAAGAACGTGGGTTCTTGCAAAATATCTGCAGAGCCGTATGGCGATTTTGTGACCATGTTCGTTTTTGATCCTTACAAGACTAGGTATGAGGGGAATTTATCTAGCGTGTGTGCCGCCATTCATGCTGTTTGACTTTCGTGGCAGTTGAATGGATGACACGTATACCTGCAATTCTTCGAATGGCCAATACCTGGGTGTATGAAAGGAAGACAGTCAATTACAAAGAACGAGAGAGAACGACCTCCCGATATATCGTCACAGTTTCCATGCTAGTACATTAGTCCTGATGGTCATTCTCTTATCAGAATGTGGCACAAAGAATCCATCGATCTTATGAGAGCAATCCATTCGACTAGACCTCCAATTTGCTTGTGATATAAGAGTATGAAAGCCGCGAGCTCTCTGAAACTTGCTTTCCATCAGTCACACCTACAACATCGACCAGGGTGATATCAAAGCTACGGCTTCTTCAAAACCCCAATGTGATTCTTCAACGCCGCTTTCATGAATGCAGCATATTTCTTTATTAGGAGCCGCAGTAGCTCAAAACGTGGGTGAGCCATGCTCAGCTGATCAAGCTGGTGGTACGTTGAGCATCGTCGTTTTTATAGCCTGTAGTACAGTGTACCAGCGATATGTTAGTCGGGCGACTTTCAAAATTGTTGAATGATTCTTCTATATGTATCTCTCTACACACACCGGAGACGTAGGGTGCGCCAACACCCTGAGAGTTGACAAATGGCAATGCGTACAGCTTCATTTGCAATGGGAAGGAGTTTGTGCTATTTGCCCCCTGTGGAAGCGATTATGGGTGTAAAATCGAAGGTGTAAAGAACACTGTCTGCACTAGACCACCGCTAGACCTCCTGGAGTCACAGGCCATTGGGCTTAAGGATGAACCCTAAATTTCATTTTGACCTCATAATGTCAATGGATACTCCAAGCTTTGATCAGTACTCCAAACTAAAATTTTCCCCCTATTTGCATAGCTATAGCAATCATAGACCGGGTTCACTGTCAAGCAAGCTCAAATTTTCACTCTAAAAAAATTCCTTTGTAACAAACTGGAAAATTACTAAACCGAAGTTTCAATAAATAAAGTTGATGAAATCCACTCATCAATACACCAGCCCAATAAGATGTTGTATCAAATTTTGATCACCCAGAAATTTACTATCAATTGCAGCACAACACATTCCAAACAAAGCTGCAAGCACATCTGAATCATCCCACCGGTGTGATCTTTGCCCGCCAGGACCGTTATAGTTATGCGTTGTAACTGTCAGCTCATCCACACCTGTGCGTAAGACAATGAGGATATGCTCTCCATTTGTCCAAGTGGCGTAATAAGTATCATTGTATATCATCTGCATCAGTTTCAACAGCATAGTAAGTATGCCACAGTCCTGATTGAGATTGACAGACCTGTTTTAGAGCCTTAGTGGCCGTACCCCGCAAGTTCCAATCAAGCACATCAGTTTCACCTGGAATTTGGGCAAATACTTTGTCTTTATGATTTGCATCCTTTGTTCCATTTGAAGGTCCGGAGAGAGCATGCATATGTTCACTCTTATATGCCCAGAATGTTTTAACTTCACAGAGTGCTGCTAAGCATTGCCTATATCCTCCAACATTCAATGCATGATCACTGAATCCTGCAGTATGTTTTCCATGTTCGCCTTGCCCCAGATTGGATCCAATAGTCAAACTCCCCCATCTAGGGTAGTTGAACCATGTTCCATCTTTTTGAACATCACATTGAAGTTGATCAATCACACCATTTTGAGGGTTGGCATGACTTATCATTTGCCAAAAATATGGTGTTTGGGTTTGAAGGAATGACCGTAAATGTTTTGGATACCTTGTCTATCAGGATGTCGACAATGGTGATCACTTGGCTTCCAGGCTTGCTTGGGCTGCTCACATGTAAAAGCAAATCCAGTGGATTAAGTAGCTGTTGTTTGACTTCATCTTGGACCGCTGGTTCACTTTCTACCTCAATATGAGATGGCCTTGTGCATCTTTCCTGATGTTATGCCCACAGACCATGAATTGCATTAATCTGTGGTTCTCGGGAAGGTAGAGGTATCACAGGCAAACAACGAGGAAATTGTCTTGTTGTACATCTCGGACCTGGTGGACCATCCATGTATCCGTAAGATTTTATTTATACTTATTTCACAGTAAATGGAAGACGGGCGGAATTATGCACATGTGATTGCAGGCCACGGTGGCACCTCTAGCCGTGGCAGGGAAAAAATTGGAAATGCGGCGCAGGATGACAACAGCAACGCCGACTTGACTGCTTGGAGCTGGAGCCATCAGACCCATTACATTGAGACTACAGTCGACTCCCTCTTAACCCATACCCCTCCGTGGACGTCCAGACCTATGGGTTATGGGAGAGTATGGGTTTATGGGGTGGTCACACTAAGTGACATACGTGACAATTTGCCTAATCGGGAGCTGTAACACCCCATACATGGGTTATGTTAGCTCAAAATTAGTGTAAATCGACCATTTTATTGGTTTTGTATTGATTTTATGCCAATTGTTTACTTACTGATCCCATTTTGGGAGTATCAAATGCAATGATAGCAATCAAGGTATGGGTTATGGGTAAAAATATAGCGGAGAATACCCCAAAAAGGTATGGATTATGGGGTATGGGAGAGTTATGGGTTATGCATGGCATTTCCCTGCAAACGAGGTCGGTAACCCAGAAAATGTATGGAGTATAAGGGAGTATGGGTTTATAGGGGTATGGGTTAAGAGGGAGTCGACTGTAATGATTTCAAAACAGTAGTCAGAGGATGAGAGTTGACACGGATGTTCTTTTAGATTCGGGATGATCCATCAATTAGCAAAAGGTGATGAGGAGGATGTTCTGATCAGAATAGCAGAAATTTGTCTATCCGCAATGTGGTGTGTCTATTGGTTAAAATTTAAGCATGAGTATTTGGCACTGTAAAGCAGGATGAGACCTGAATGAGACCAGAGTGACCGATTTGCTTGATATACAAATCTGAGTAAATCATTAAGGCAATGACTCGACTACCATTCCCATGGTTCAACAATACAACCAAAGGGAACGTTATCAAGCACTCGGGACAGGTAAGTATTATAGTAAGTTTGAACACCCCATAGATCTTGGGCAGTCCTGTATGCACAGTCCAAATCTACAAGTCTCCATTGATATGACTTGCCAGATATCGGGGATGGGAGACTTGGAATTCCACCTTGTTCTTGGCTCAAAACACAGAGTATGTTGGCATAACGTAGATCATTGTGGATGATGTGTAGGGAAGCTAAATCAGAGCACAAGGTCTCTAATTCAGATCTTGCCCCCCCAAAATGAAAACGGTATGAGTTTAATGTGATGGAGAAGCAGTGTTTATCACGCACTCTGCTCCGTCTGGTAAGGGTTCACCAAGGGTAAGATGTCTGCCGAGCTTCTCGAGGAGTAAAAGGGACATTGGTCCAAAGTCAAAGAAGTCAGTTGAGCTGAGGAGCTGTGTCAAGAGGCAGCCACAGTACCAGCTACACAATCCTTACCGGAACTGGAAAAAGCCATAGCATCTAGGTATAGCAGAGCCTTGTAAGCATTGCAGACCCTCATACATGATTGCTTCTTTGGTCAAATCCTCACTATGGTACTGTCTTGCAAGCTTGACCACAATTGGTGGAATCTGATATCCTAATGTCTCATTCCCAGAGGGAACCGAGCATTCACAGTCAAAGAGCATGCCTGTGCGCCCTGTCGATATCATTTTCCCCAACCGGATATGGAGTGAAAGATTCCCAGGTGGTGGAAGTTTGAAAGGTGGATCAGGATGTGGCTTAAGAACATCTATGTTGTGGGTGTTTTCAGGTTTTTTTGCGTAATCATCATCGAGAATCCCGCTGTCTAGTGATGGAAGGCTTGGCCGACGCAAGACAACTGGTATGTCAGGTCCTTTCCAAGCATCGTTGGTAGTACCGATTTCGCCAGATATAATGATGACGGCAGATACAGCATTGAGGGGCTTACAGTGAATAATGGCGGTCAATACTAGCAACAGTCCAAAAGAACCAAAGACGCACCAAGATATTGCTCATGGTTTCCTAGCTTCGAGATGATGATTGTGGCGAAGAAGAGGAAGTAACCGTCACACGTGATATCGCATGGACAACTTCAATTGGCGAGATGCAAACATTTCAAAACCCATCCTTCATCGTTTACCGTGTGCATTGCACCTTCTGTCAGCCACTAATATTAATTGGACTTCTACATAGTTGCTTCTTTTCTTTTTACTTAACAGCTATTAACCTAAGACTATGGTACTAAGGCGTGGGATACATAGTTGCTTCATCGTCAAGTTTTCCTACATAGCTGTAAATGGCTTCGCCTCTCAGGTGTGACGTGAGATATACTCGGGAGTTATCGAACATCTTTGCAAATGCGGTGAGTCACCAGTCATAATTACCATGCAGTAGCGCCCCGGAGAGATAGACATTGAGTATATCCAACTATGCTAGAACATGGATATGCGAATGAGTGAAATGCTGGTCTGAGAAAATTGACAAGTCCTTGTAGACGGATGAAAGAAGAGTGGAGATCGTGGCTACATGTGTTGAAGACTGTAGCAACAGGCGATTGCGAACGAGATCTGAACGTTGAACACCAATGACTTTCGTTGTAAGCGTTCATGAATAATGATATCTGAGTCGCTTCTCCTGGGATATCATGGGTATACATTGAATACATAGTACATAGGTACCAGCAGCGATCATCAATCACTGCCTCTGAGTTGGAGAAGCCAGATCGCTCAGAGCCACCCAGCTATCCGAAAAAAACTTAGCTCATCTTCAGTCTTTAGTTACATTAAAAGCACGTACCCAATGGACTAACTTCAGGTTTAACCGGTTCAAAACTTCTTCACATGGCTGTGACTCTCCGATTATGATCCGTTTCCATCGTGAAGCGTATGAGAGCCCGTGTTCGGTTTTGGGTGTATCGCCTACTTGCTTGACCTATACAGTGAATCCTTATTAATTAAGTGTTAGATCTAATCGGATCGAAACAATTGCCCCATGTGATTCTGACTACTCTCTTTCAGCAGCGACCATCTGGACTCTTCATTAATTATTGTCCTTATACACACATCTTTTGTAACGCAATGGCCAACTTCTTGGTATGTAAGTCCATTGCTTTGAAGAACCGTACAGGTCACTAATGATCCATCCGCTGTCAGCCACTCAATGCCGTCTCCAATGTTATCATTGTATCCGGCGAGATTGGCACTCCCAACGAAACTTGGAAAGGTCCTACCATACCAGTTGTCTTGCAACGGCAGAGCGTTCCATCTTTGGAAACCGGAGTTCTCGATGACTACGCCACGAAGATTGAGAATCGAACTTTTTCTGACTACTGCAAGCCTTATCCTGATCCACCTTTTGAAATCCCGGCGCCTGCAAATTTGACCCTTCAGATCCGTTTGGGGAATGTGTTATCTGAGGGCCAGAGCAGTATTGTTTTCAAGTGCGAATGCTTTATCCCCTACGGAAATGAGACTCTGGAATATATCATTCCTCCAATGGTGGTCAAGCTTGCAAAACGATACAAGAGTGATGATGTGAAAAAGGAAGCAATCATGTATGAGGGAATAAAATGTTTACAAGGTTCTTCTATTCCACGTTGCTATGGCTTTTTCCAGGTTCGGTGAGATATGATGGTTTACTTGCATGTTTGAATAATAGCTTGACTCATTCGCTTTTCCAGCGCACTTGAATTCTTTGACTTCGGACCTATGTCAATTTTACTGCTTGAGGAGCTTGGAGGACTTCTCACTCTTGATCAACCAGTGACAGATTCCGCAAAGTACATAATATATTTTACAATACTTATGGACCATCCTGAAATCTACTTCTTGCTTTTATTAGGTCCGATATAGAGGGCTTATGCTCTGATTTGGCTCATTTGCGCATTGTTCATGATGATATGGGATATCAAAACATTCTCTCTACATTAAGTCTTGAACAAGGTGGTCTTCCCAGTCTCCCGTCTCCAATCTCAGGAAGGACATATGGCTGGAGGCTAGCGGGATTTAATGGTGCTTTTAGAACTTCCACAACTCTGGAAAATGTTCAGTCATTTTATGATTATCATCTTCCCGGAGTTTTAGAGAATGTTTACAAGCCATTCGAAGAGTAAAGATGTGGAATTTCTAGGCTTGGATAGATAGATCAATTGATAAATGGTGTTTACTCCGAGTCATTAGAAGAACTTGAGTAAATGGAATATGTGTAGTTTAATAAGGGACTAGAATCTTGCTACCATTAGTTCCCCGCAGGTGCCGTGCACTTTTAAGTGCAAATTCAAATTTTGATATATGGTGTCTCCAACTTTGATTGGCCAAGAGATAAATTTCACGAGCCATGCCGAAGACTGTAGTCAATTGAACGATCCACTGAATCAAATTGAGCTTTCTCTATTTGGGCGCTTATGGAAATTTCTTGAATTCGGCGGAATAGAACAACTTATCCTTTACTTCTGGAGCCCTACAATGACGAGTGCAGCAAAAGCGGCAAACATCAGAACACCTGTTAACAGTTTCCGAGACGTGCCTGCACTACCCCTAACGCCACCAGCTCCGGCAGAGTCGATTGCAGTGATCTCCGCGTCACTGAGAGCTATAACGGTGTGGAGGTAGAACGGTCAACATCGAAGGGATATAAATAGGATAAAGAAGGAAGACGCACATATATCACCCGCGTCAAGGTATCGTTGGAGTCTGTCTTTCTTTGAGCTGGTACTACAGTGAAGGAATCATCGACTTAAGTACCCTCGCAGAATATTCGCACATCAGAAAGACGTACGTGACAGCGACAGCCCCCTTGGCTTTCACCCAGGCTAATAGAACTTGTTCCGGCGCTACGTTAAGTTTTTTGGCGAGTTCCTTGACTGGAACGTCGACTGGACCACCTGGGCGCTGTGTCAAAGGGCTGATGTGAACACAGTGCAGGAAGGTACAGGTACACAGTGCAGGAAGGTACAGGTACACAGTGCAGGAAGGTACAGGTACACAGAGGTATTTTGAAGGAAGTACGTTAGTGAATGATTAAACCAAACCGGAGCTCAAAGTTTGAATACTTACATGAGAGCACTATAAGCTTCAATCACAATGTTGTGCTTCTTCGCGTACTCGATAATGGGAGCTTGGGTAGCGTAAACATAGGGATGCAGCAATATCTGCCAAACACAAGTTTTGAATAACCTATGCTGGTAATTAACGAGGCGCAAGGTTGAAACACATACCTGATTCGCAGCTGGGGGAACCTTTGCTGAGGCTAAAAGGACAGCAAGGTCATTGACACCAAAGTTACTAACACCAATGCTCCTAAAATCGGAGGTAAGAGGAATAAGAGTAAGACGACGTAAACATAGGGTGGAAAATGCCAGTGATTCCGAGTCGGAAGGCATCATGAAGGTGAAGACGGGACAAAGTGCGGAATATACGTAGCCTAGTCGTCCGTGAGTTCTGACTTACTTGACAACACCCTGTTCTTTCAACTTCTCCATCTCCTTCCACGCAGTTGGAATATCCGGAACAGCGAGGCGGGGGTGGTGGATAAGGTATAAATCAACGTAGGTGACTCCAAGCTAATGTTCATGATTAGTATCCGGTTATATCGCAAACACAAACGAAACCAAGAGAAGGAATAGTGAACGAAAAAACCTACATTTTTTAAACTATTCTTGATCGAAGTCTTGATATCAAGCCCGTTCAAGCCGGAATATTTCGTAGTTATGAATATCTCTGAGCGCTTCAGCCCGCTGTCGAGGATGGCTTTACCTGCCTCAGCTTCATTGCGGTAGGCTTGAGCGGTGTCTGGGTGAAGTCAAAGGCAGCGAGAGGAGGCGTCCGTTGAGGAAGGTGTAGTGATAATTGAAGGAGAGGGCGTCTTTCGTTAGCTTCAAGTTCATTAAACTCAACTAACAAACCAAAACTCATTCACCGATATGACTAAAGCCAACATTGATAGCCTGATCCACTTGGTTTATAGGACCATCCCCATTGCCTAATTTCCAAGTACCGAACGCGATAGTGGGCATTTCATAGCCTATGCATGAAAAATGAAAAAACATGACCAATAAATCCATTGATTATACACGCGTGGGGTAAACGAATTGAGGTACTTACCACTGTTCAGTTTGACAAGATCCCAAGGCATGGTCGTCGACGTTTATGAGGAGGTTAGCTGCGATGATGGTGGAAAGAGTTCAAGCTGACGAATTCGTGAGAATCATGAGGATATCACTGTCATAAAGTATCGTGCGACGACGTGGGGTTTAAGAAGCACTTAATCTATTTTGAGAAAGAGCGCCTTGGCCACGACGACCAGAGGGCGCTTATCTAGGTACGTTGACATTGGACGGCATAGTGTAATGTGGTCTGACAATCACTGAAAATGTTTAAAAAAGGACCGAAGTAGACCACTCTATATACTGTATTCCTACTTCCCTTTCCTACGTTCCTTCCGCTTCCTCCCGATGACAAAACCAACACTCTGACCTGGCTTTTTCAACATTTTTCCATCCTTCACGTCCTTATCCTTCACGTCCTCTATACTCTTCAGTCTGTTCACTTCGTCAACCTTGCGTTTCTTCCTTGGGGCCGGTTCTTCAGATTCCTCTTTCCAAGTTTGAGAAGGGACCACCGCCGCCTTCTTTGGATCCCTCTTTTGTGTCTTTTGTGTCGGATCAGCCTGTGAAATGAAGAGCACAGTCACAAATCAACGTCAGGGTTCGAAATAGCATAGGAACGCTGCCCACCTTCCTCCGTTCATCCTGCATGACCCTTCTTCGTTGCACAACCTGTACATTCTCAATCGAAAACTCCACTATCACCGTGCCTCTGCTTTTCTTCAGCGCAGTACCACCACCACCAGCACTCTCAAGTTTCTCGATTTCCCCTTCGACTCTCTTGATCCTCGACTCCTCCTTTTCATTCTCAGGTTTACTTTTCTCCGCCTTCAACAATGCCACTAATTCCTCCTTCCACCATCCCTCCCAAAGTTCGGCAACACTCGGATTGTTATTCGCCCAACGTAAAACACGGAGAGCGTCCGCATGGGTGTTCAGCTCAAGGAATCCATATCCTTTACTTCGGCCTTTACCTGTAATCGGATCAACGCGTTCTTGTTGTCGGACAAGTTTGGCTTGTTTGGTGAGGTTGGGTTTACTACGACCAAACGTTTTACGTTTCTTGCCCTCCTTATCGTTTTTTTCCTGAATGTCGGCGTCGCCCTCCGCCTCAGCCTCTGGTTCGACAGTCAATTCATCCTCCGTCAGCCCTTTTCTCTCCCCACCCTTCACTTCCTTGTTGAACATCTTCACTGCATGAGCCGCTAGCCGTCTAAGCATGCGTTCAGTGACAAAGATCGGTATCTGTCTGATACTGAGACGTGTTTTGGAGATGTATAATGAAGGATTTGTTTTGAGAAGGTTTTTCCTAGCAGTGAAAGAAGACGAACGCCGTTCGAGGTCTGCAGGAGAAAGGAGGGTTGCTGCTGGGGAGTTTGGTAGAATAACTAGATGAACGAAGGTATATGTTAGATTGTTTCAATGTACAAACAAAGATTGAAAGTGAAACCCACCTCCTTCGCGTAAAAGATACATGTTCCTTTTGTCTGCTTTCTCTCTCCGTCTTTCACCCTCTTCTTTTAGTTTTCCCGCTTGATCGCGGGTGACGGCCCGTACGACGTCGAGAGTTCGACCTTGTAAGACGAGGCTGCGGGCCAAACTCGAGGAGGGGTCCGGAGTAAGTATAGAGGGAAGTTTGAATGGATTTTGTTTTGGCTATGGGGTTGAATCGAATGAGTAATGAGATGGAAAATCGATAGCTACGGGAACCTCACGGTCTCGTTGGAACCGGTTTCTGCTCGCAACAAATCACTCTGAGCAACGACTTTATCCGCGTCCTCCTTGTTCCAGAAGCAAGCAAACCCAGTTCCTCGAGAACGTCCTGTTTCGGGATCCATGGTTATTCGAGCATAACGAAGAGGTCCGAACGCTCGGAATCTAGGTAATGAGAAAAAATGGTTCGTAATGGGTCGATGAAAAACAGGAAAACACGTACAGCGTTCTGAGTTCATCTTCGGTTGCAGTAAAGGGCACGTTCCGAACAAACAGCGTAGTACCAGCTTCAGGGGCAGGCAGTTCTGGTTTAACGGGAACCTCCTCCTCTCCATCGCTTTTGTTATCATCGTCACCGCTGTAATCCGATCCCGACTCGTCCCCGTCGTCGTGAAGCCCGATACCATCTTCATCTTCCGAACCAGTACCGCTAGACGAATCCGAGCTGCTCCCGCTACCCGAAGCTGCATCGTCTTCCATTTGGTCACCGTCGTCATCCGCCTTGCCAAGTTTGGCTTTTTCCTCCTCCCACTTGTCTTTACTGAGTGCCCAATCGACAGCGATGATTCTCTCATCCAAGCTGTGCTCATTATCTTCTTCTTGGTCGGACTCTTCCCCTTCATCCTCGTCTTTCTCTTCCCCAACAATTCCTTTCTTCATCCTTTCCTTCATCTTTTTCTCCACCCGCCTCTGCTTCTTCCTCTTCTGTTTATCGCTAATCATATTCTCCGCCATCCCTGCACGTAGTACAGTTCCATTACATCCTTCCATGGCCCGTTCCGCGTCCTTTTTACTATTCATCCATACGAACGCGAATCCTCGGGTTCGGGATTGTGACCTCGGTTGAGAATTCGATTTTTGAGACGGCTCCTCTCCGTCGTTGGCAACGTTGGCGTCGTCGGTTTTGGTTTCGAGAGGAATGTGTATAGAGTAGATAGGGCCGTAAGGAAGGAACAAGGCACGAAGGTCCTGCTGTGAGGTATTGAATGGAATATTCCTCACAATCAATCGTGCTGCACGAGTAGGAGCAGCAGCGGTGGATGTGGTGGAGGCCTGGTTTGGATTGACCATAGATTTGGTCAAGTTATCCAACCGTTTCTTGAGTTCGACCGAGAGTAGATTCCCTTTGAATACGTGTGCGTGAAGTTTAGTGACAGCTTCGAGTGCGTTTTGGGGAGTAGCAAACACAACATGAGCTTTGGAATGAAGTTATTGAGATAATGCAAGATGAGCTATTTACGAAAAGGAAAAAATAAAATAAACACACCTGTATCAGCCTGTTCCGAAGAATGGCTCACCGGCCAATCAACCTTCTCCGCTCCTTCACATTTTCTAAACTTTTTCCAGAGGACTTTCGTGTCTATTTCCGCAGGAATTCCTGATACGACAATTGTACGGATCGCGAGAGGGTCATGAGTAGCTTTAGGATAACTCGGTCTAGGTGGAGGTATAGGTTTCGTTTCCTTCTTCACTTGTTCGCCTTTTTCGCCTTTTTCTTTAGGCTATCCAAATCCAAGTACGTCTATGAGTGAACCAATATAGTTGATTATGACAACCCACTTTGCTATCAGCCCACTGAACACGAAGACTCCGTCCAACGAGGTTCAATCCATCCGTGGATATTTTATCGAACGCAGCTTCAGCATCTTCTTTGATAGAAAACGATACATAGCCTACGCCTTTGGATACACCTGTCCCGGATTCTGTGACAACAAAAGCGCTCCGTACAGGTGCGATATCCGAAAAAAGTGTTTGCAGATCGGTGGAAGTTGCTGTGTAGGGTAGATTGGATACAAATAGTGTGGATCTGGAAAACTGTTGTTTTAGCCAAAGACGACAAACTATTGAGATGGTACGCACCCGTGTTGCTTGAAAGCATCTTTCTCGTCTCGTTCTTTTCGTTTTCCGAGCGACGCCGACATTGATGAACGAGGAAGAACGAGAGCGGGAAAGGTGGACAGTAAATCATAAGCGCTCAAATAACGGAAGCGCTTAAACCTGTTTTCTCCAAAGCGGTCACGGATCGTCTCGGGACCGTCTTGACAAGGTGGCAAGTTGTAAATGAAACACCAGGTCTCTGAGTCGCACTTTACATATCGATTCCTGGCCGTGCGCTATACCTGCTCCTCAATAGTTCTCGATATGGTCCGTCAAACGTATTCCTTCGTCGAAAAGTTTCTTGAACTCAAAGATCTAATCCGACAAAGTCAGCCTTCAAGCTTCAGGGATCATTGCTACGTCGTTCCATTGAAAGCGGAAGCATATATCATTCAAGAATCTTTTTTCCTAGGGGGAATGAAGAACTCACAAAAAATGCCTGGCTTAGCTTTTATTTTGAGGAACCACTTAGAAATTCATCGAAGGTTTATAAAACCCTTATTCTTATTCTCGTCATTATGGAAGGAAGAGCGTTCTAGGTCACCCACTTAGTCATTAGCACGGATTCAACAAGGTCAAGGATGCTTCTAAATCTGAAATTTTCGAAAAGGTCTGTCACTCTCCCCGTAAACATCCCAGACCTCCCAATGATAATCTGCTCTAATGATATTACTCAGCGAGCCATTTCGTGCCAGTGAACCTTGACTGTTTCATCAGTTATTCCCATGTATCCTGAATGGAGTAGCAAGGATGGGATCTTCACCAATACATATGTCTCTGTTATTTATGGTCCGAGTCTGACCCCTCTCTGTTCTCCGTCTCCCGTCCCGCCCTTAATCCCACTCCTACTACCACGTTGAAAGAATCTCCATGGTCAGGCGTCCACACGTTAACGCTCAAAATCCCCAAACGACTCTCCATCAACACCTCCCCACTGCATCAAACAACTGGGATGTGATATATCCGCGTCTGAGACGCTCTAGTCTTGTGTCTCATCGATGGGTCGTTCCACGTCGTGTATGGCATCGCTGGGGTTGTTTGTAGTGCCGATACTGGATTATGATGACGATATCGCTGCTGCAGGCTCTAGGTCAACGAACAATACGATGGGGACAACGCCAAATGTGTCAGGTGCGGCTACATTTGCGGTGGTTGATATATCATGACCTCTAAGAAGTGAGAGTCTATCGACCGCTGCTTGCGGAGTGTTCGATCGTATTGAACGGGCTGCTGCTGCTGGTTCTCATTATAATTCTGCGGGGGGTGATGAGAGCGAGTGGGATCGTTTGTTATGATGGAGGCAGTGGGACTGTTATGTGGATACATGAGTGACTTGTCTTCATTCTTCCTTCATCCGCTTATACTCCCCCCCTGCCTCATACCTCTCCATCCCTCATACCCCTCCCTCCCTCTCAAGACCCACCCGTCCCGCAGATTTCAGCTACGAATACGACGCGAACCATATTAGTATCCTTACCGTTACGAGGCTTTGGGATGGAATCGTCGGAACTGCTCATCACCCTCTCGCATCTGATCTTCCCGAGCTAAATGCAACGGTAATGAATCCAAGTGTCCGAATAAAAGTAAGCTCCCCTTCTACCGAATGTGGCTCGTGCTCAACTCACCGCCACTATATAGCATTTTCTCTATTGAATGAAGTATACTAGCCGAAGTAGTGTTGCGGTGGTTCACGGGAGGTGGGATCCATGTGTAAAATCCAATGCTGTCTGTCTTGCGCATTTCCTTTTCTCTGCTAACATCATTATGCAAAATGTGTTGACAACCTCATTTCAACCTCTGCCTCAAATTTCAAGAGGTAACTTTTGAGTCGCTTCTCAGCTCCCATTATGCATCAAGGCTTGTATCGTGACAGGTGATACTATTTACTAGTAGTGTATATAACGTAATGAAAGAAAATTCCTTTGAGGGTCTCAGGCTGATACTATTCCAAATATCATCGGACTCCGATCGGAGATAGTTTTGCGGGCCAGAACTCACAACGAGTGAAGAAGATTCATTCCACAATGATCTAAGTAAGCTCAGAGATTGTGTTCTTGAGAAAGGAACTAGCAATCAGTACTTAGTTCCGCTGTGGGCGTGGCGGCGTTATCTAGCCAATCGGTAGCTGGAACAAACGGTCGCGTTTATGCATATCACGTGAATGAAATTCTTGACCACAATCAACAACTTGAACCACCATCTCGAAACCGACCATGGACAGTATGTTGGTTTGTATTGAACTCTTCGACTGTTATGATGAATATTGACTGCGATCATTCATTGTCAGCCCCTCAATGCGGTGTCCTCCGTGATCATCATATCTGGCGAAATTTCTACCCCCGAAACCGCTTGGAAAGGACCCGACTTGCCAATTGTCCTGCGCCGCCAAAGCCTTCCATCTCTAGAAAGCGGAATACTCGATGATGATTTTGCAAAAGATCCTGAACGTGCACTTGAGGTAGAGGTTCTCAAGCCGCATCCTGATCCACCCTTTAAACTTCCGACACCTGCGAATCTTACACTTCATATTCGTTTGGGGGAAATGATATCGCATGGCCGTACGGGTATGATATTCAATTGTGAATGCTCAGTCCCTTATGGCAATGAGACACTGGGATATCAGATTCCCCCGATCGTGGTGAAACTCGCAAAACAGTACCACAGTGAGGATTTAACCAATGAGGCAATCATGTATGAGGGTCTACAATGCCTGCAAGGCTCTGCTATTCCCCGATGTTATGGTTTCTTCAAGTTCCGGTAAGCTTTGTGCAGACTGGTTTTGTGCTTGCCTTATCACTCAGCTTTGCAGCTCGGTAGAGTTGTTTGACTTTGGACCAATGTCACTTTTACTCCTTGAGAAACTCGGCGGACTTATTACTCTTGGAAAGCCATTACCAGATGGAGCACGGTGTGTAACAAATACTGCATTCTGCTATACATTATTCTCATACCATATTTGTTTTGTGGGAGTAAGATCTGATTTAAAGACCTTGTGCTCTGATTTGGCTGCCCTACACATCATCCACAATGATGTACGCTACAATAACATACTCTCTGTCTTGAGCAAAGAAGAAGGTGGACTGCCAAGTCTCCCATCTCCAATATCTGGCAAGAAATATCAATGGAGACTTGTAGATCTGGATTGTGCTTATAGGAGTCCCCGAACATTATGGGGCCTCAACACTTATTATAATACTTACCTGTCTCAAGTGCTGGATGACATTCCCTTTGCTTCCGATGTTGAACCATGGGAAGTTTCTAATGTCAAACAATGGGAATGACTGGTATAGCTCAATTATATATTGTTGTTGTACCAAGTTTTAATCAGAATAATCAGAATAATCTTGCTAATAGTGTCAAATGTCATTCAAGAGTTTACATTTGAATGCTGTATTCCACAAGACTTCATTGGGATCAGTAATTTGCTCTAGTGTACGAGTGGGTGAACTATCAACTATGATACGGAAACCCACTTTGGACCTGCATAGGAACAGTACGGATTCGGAAAGGAAGTAAACTGACAGTCCCCTCGAGGAATGTAAATGAGCTATATTGCTTTGACATGAGGTCTTAAAATGTATCATATTGAAGACTAGATCTTATCCTTCAAGTTAGCGGTATCTTTATTCTGTCTTCTACAACATCTGCAAAACATGGATATTCGGCTAAGGGCTGAGAGCAGATCCCAGCAGATCCCAGTACCGAAAGCACTGAGAGCAGGCTGCTCTGAGTGCTTTCACTGCTGGGAAATGCTTTCAACTGCTTTCGGACCCTTAGCCGAATATCCAGGTTTTGCAGATGAATCCCTTGACCCACATGAACTTCAACCAACCACCACACCAACCACATCCACCCCTTGACCCACATGAACTTCAACCAACCACCACACCAACCACATCCACTTTGGCCTTAGGTCCAGGATCCACCACTCCCACTGCATATCAATGCTCAAAATGCTGCACTTTACCTTCCTCATCGCCTGGAGCTATCAATGGGATGGATCCTCCCGCTTTGCATTTCAGCCGCTTTCCATACTCTGCGGCTCTGAATCTTGTGCCTAACGCGCCTATACATCTATTCCAAGCAGTTCATCTAGGGAATCTTCCTCAAAACCTGCAACAGAATGTTCTGCAGATCACTCAACGGTTTCCATTACCATTGACACTAAGCCTTGCAGCAGTTCATTGGGATTATAATCTGGATCTTGGTTCTCAGTCATCAGTAAGTTCCTGTTTGTATAATATGTATGATATCATACACATCATACACTATTAGCAGGGTTCGAAGTGAAAAACACTTGACCATTGGAGACAGTTGACAGAGGGAGATGTGATGATAGTGGGCACATTCAAAGATGTATAAATGGTTGAAGACCCCATCGACTTGCTGCTCCAGTGGTCCACTAAACCCGTACTTCGCGTTCTTCAGTCTTTACGTTTGGTGTTTTTGAATCAAAAATAGCCCGACCAAAGGATAGGGAAAGGGTTCACGAGTCACGACGACAGAGGTGCACTGTGCTGATGAGCGTTCAGTAAAGAAAAAGAAGCAAATGCAATCACGTGTGATGTCAAAGCTGGTTTTACCAGACTCCCATGCATATTGCTCTTTCAAAGAATGCTGTGCATAGTGGAGCAGGGAGTCTCCACATACACAGGCATGTAATTCTATCCAACAGTGGTTAACCCAAATATGTTGAGACTGAGACTCATCGAGATGAAATCCTGTTGCCAAATGGTATGTAGGAGAAACTACAACCAAATGCAGGGGGAAAAACTGCCATACATAAGGACAAGGCTTCCCTAGTAAACTACAACCTTGTAACCTCATTGTTAACCAATAGGCATAAATAATTTACATCTGGGTTTATTGACTGACACATCAAAATCGGTCAGGATTCAGACACAAGTTTGACTGTCTTATATGGAGGTCCTCCCTGCCAGTTTGAATCTCCCTGATATACAAAAAGCTTTTTCACAGTCACACCTTTCAGTCCATCATCTGCTACAATAGCCAGTTGGGTCAAGGGTTTTCCAGTAACCCTGCTTGTTTCTTGAGCATATGATCCAGATCCATCTAATATGGTCAAAATTAAAGGGAGCACCTCCTAATCAGACATAGTTCATACCAGTGTAAGACATAGGTCCCTCAATCACTGAATAATGTTTCCCTTCAAGTAAGGGTCGATCCGCACTTCTTGACAATGACGGATTGTAGTTTGCGCTTATAAACTAAGCCAGGTTAGGGATTAATAATGGATGAGTAAAGGCATCATAAAGGAACTGTAATCCATCCACATACTGTTGTCCACTCTGAGTTGGCTGATGGAAAACTACACAAGATATGACAATAGCTCAATACTATTTCTTAAAACTAAATTCCCCAATCTCACCTGTAGAAGGTCACTCCAGCAGGAAGGGAAAAATCCAGCTCAACCATGCCAAATTGATGAGAGGCATCAGTTTTGTGCTGGTTACCCCAGAACATAGCATCTTCTTTGTCCTACAAGAATTTATGTATCAGTTTTGTGTTTGAATTCATACCAAAATGGCAGCCCAGCTTGTGCATACAGGGAACATGTAATAGCCCCATTGGTTAGAGAAGTCACCTGCCTTGAGTTCTGGCTGGGTAGGATGGGTCCCTACTTTGTTGCTTGTATTATCATCCAGTTTGATGGCACGGTAGTAGGTCTGTGTACCGCGGGTGGCCAATGTTGTGGCATTTCCCTGGATGCTGAATTCTCTGGGTACAGCAACAGGAGCCGATTTGCCTATGTGAGTACATGAAAGTGTAAACAGTAATGCCCATATAACTGTGGACTGAAAAAAGAACTTCATTCTGATTGTGATAAGCTGTGATAGGGTGATTGGAATGGGTCAACTGGCCAGCAGATGACTGAGGAAACTGCAGTGTAATATTTGAGTAACACGTTTTTATATTCACTCCCTTGCACTCCAGGTCATAGCAGGTGTAACGAAGCATACACTCAGTGACTGCTGCAATATTCAAATTGAAGTTTCCGTTTTCATGATGACTGAGGAAACTGCAGTGTAATATTCGAGTAACAACTTTTTATACTCACTCACGTACACTGCAGGTCATAGCATGTGTGACGCAGCATATACACTCAGTGACTACTGTGATATTCAAATTGAAGTTTCAGCTTGCATGCAGTTTCCTGTCCCTCCGGGCAAGCTGGATGAGTTGGGCAATTCGGCAATGGGATCTCCGGGCAAATTTTACTTTACTTCTCAGTGCATGCATGGTCCTCTAATTTGGATGCTCATACATTAGCAAGGATTAGTGATGTTGGGTCGGCAGCGGGCATACAGGGCAAGTTGGAGGTTATTTTCCAATATTGTTTGCACTTGCATGTGTTATTCCCCCCATTTGACCAATGAACATGTATCGGACATGCTGGGCAAGTCGGAAGTGACCCCACTAGAAGACACACGTAAGTTGAATAACCAGCAGCAGATTGAAAGGTCTGGATCTAGGATATCATTTCCGAACTTCCACAAACATCTGACCACATGGTTTCACGAGTGCAGTGCAAAACAGAAGATCTTCTGATTTACTCAGAGTAACTCAATGACAAGTCATTGGCATCTGTCCTTAAATACATGACCCAAAGCAAGCCAGGGAACAAAAACCCTTTCACAGGTTGCTGCCTTAACTCTTAGTGTCATTCCGATAGCCAAGGTTTGCATTGCCAATCTCACAACCATGGACAATGGACAGATAAATGACCTTTGATCCTTAGAATGGATGATCTACCCATTGAAATATTTCAAGAAATTGTGCTGATTGCAGCTAAAAATCAACCAACTGCTATATCACTGGTGCTAGTTTCCAAAATGGTCAATGCCTGGATCACACCTGGCTTATACAAAAGTGTTCATCTCCGGTCACGACACCATGTGTTATTACTGCAACGTACCTTGGCAGGAGAATCTGGATTGGCCCTTGCATCTCATATCAATCATGTGTACATGGATGATTTTACAGCAGGACTTGGAAAGCTTATGTCCGCCCTGTGCACAAATATTACAATGGTTGTTGTTCCCCAGCGGACTTTTCATGAGCTGCTGTATTTCGACCCTAAATGTGGTATTCCTTGGCTTACTATCACTGGTCTGCTCCGGGTAGTCCATGGCTATAACTTGCCAGTGATGAAGACAGTGACTCACCTGCGCTGTACCCGGGATACTCCAAATCAACAATTCTCACCCCAGGTCCATAAATTATCTCTGACGCACTTTTCATGCTGTTACTGGCCCATTGATCACATCACCATGCATAAATTCTTGCCTTACAATTTGGCAAAGTTATTGGATACCCAGATCCAAGCTGTGGTAGTTTGTGTTGATCTGAGGGGCCAGTATAAATATACAGCTGAGGAGAAGATTCAGGAGACTTTGGAGAATCTCAGCCAGTTGGAGAGAAAGGACAAACGGGTATTAGTTGTAAGATCCATGGATCTAGTAGAAGGAATGGATGATGAAGAGTTCTGGAGCTATGTTGAAGCAGCCATTGCAGAGAAAGAGTAGACTAGATTGTTGACATCATTATATATTTCAGCCAGGCCCTTTGGTTTATATAATTGTATTTATGTAGTTAAAAATTGCTCACCCTATGTTGCTGCAGAATTTAGAGCCAGTGCTACAGTACATGCTTTGGATTTGGTCCCCCTTGCCAATCTGCCCCATTGTATACTGGAAAAGGGCCTCATTCTGAGGGACTCACCTTGCTTGCTCAAGGCGACCTTATTCAGGCCTGGAAGAGTCACTGAGTACATGATGATCATATATTTCTGAAGTCAAAAGTCTCCAAATTAGTTCTCAGATCTTACTGGGTCTACTTACATAGTACGATTCATTCTCAATCAAGTATGCTAGGCTACTAGCATTATTAAAATCTGCTTCTTGAATCTGATATAGTAATTGGGTTGTTGAAAAACCAAAAGGCTGAACTTGAAGCTTTGAAGCATGGCCAAACAGCACACGTATAGTGCGCACTTATTGTGGGAAAATCACTGATTTGTTTGTGCATGTGTACAAAGACACCAGAAACTGCTTCAATTGTCGGTGGTAGATAGACCTTGACAAGCAAGGTGATTTCTACATTTTTCCTGTCAAGGGTTTAAGTCAATTAACCAGTGGGTTTTCATTTGTGGGACAATGACACTATGTATGTTGTTACAGAATGTTGGATGTCATTTATGTGAGATTTCAGGAAATTTCATTGCCACCTTGCACAATGCGCATATACTATTCCTGTAAATGCTCTTCCTGAAACTTGTTCCAAAATCAGTGCCGTGCCTCGGGGAATCATGGAAGGGCTTCAGAATAGAAGAGGCTTGACAGTATAAGCAGGGTATGTCCATCTATTGCACTCGATTGTGAGCAGTGCACCGGAAACCCTGAAAGGCATTGCCCATTTTTATTACTCTGGATCAGGATGTATTTGGTGCTGTAAACCAGTGTGCCGGAACCCCCGAAGGATACTGCACATTTACATCACTAGGGAGATCCCATCACAAAAACTCATGAGTTTTGATTGCCATTTGGTGCTTACAAGAACCTCCTCTTTCAGAGTCGGTGATTGGGGCATGGGCGAGGCCCTGAAGCTTTCCAATGGATCAATGCTAGTCTAGCCTGCCCAATTGTTTGAATAGTATTAGTAAACACACTCCTGTCAAAGAATAATACTGTAGACCTACCTGTTTCATAGATAAGGCCAATAATTATCTTGAAGCAATTGTGGGCCACTGCACAGTGGTGCATGAAATTTGCTTGCCTTTCAAATTAAATATTGATTAATTTTAGCATGGCAAGTATAAATACTAGATATTTTAGGGAATGTGGTGGGCAGTGTGGGTGATGGGGACAAATGCTAATGGCCCACATGGGACTAGCTTCATTCCTCCAAACATGTATACAGCAGTGCAAAGAACACCAGCACCTACGCAGGAGAGGCAAGAAGAGACCCGGAACTGAGCAATAGTAGTAATTCGGGAATGGTCACTTGCTGGTCATGTGAAGTTGTGTGAGGATCACATTCAAATGAATGGTTCTAGAACTCTGTAACTATGCTAGAGAAAGAGGTCTAAAAAGGAAGTCTGGCACTTGATTTTGGCATGTAGCAATATGCATAATTGCAATGAAAAACTATGAGCTTTGTTTGATTACATAAGTATTTGCAAAACAATCAAAAGTTGTGCTTTACATCCTGGTCAATAATATCTCCTCAGCATATCTCCAGAATTCTTCATCACACATGTTCTCATTTAATTCAGGTGTGCTAACAACAACTCTTCTATCCTTCTTCTCCGCAGCTTGTAGGTATTCCACCATGTCATTGATCTCACTCACAGAAACATAAGATGATGGCTCCCTGAGATCAATGCAAATTACCAATACCTCTATGGTTTTCATCTTCAACAGTAATTGTATAAGTCTGCACAAATATGGTATTTGACCTGCAGCTCCTCGCTTGATTGGTCTGTAAACACATGCAAAATGTGTGAATGAGAGCTTCTCTACCTCTCCAAAATTTCCGTAAGGTGTGTCCCATAGAAACCGCAAATGTGTTACAGTTTTGAGCACTGGCATACCAATTGTCGAAAGATGAAGAGGGCGTAATGGTCCAAGGATGGTAAGCCAGGGAATGCCACTGGGAGGGTTCAAGTTGAACAACCAGTGAGCTTTCATTTGTGGGACAATGACACTATGGATGTTGATACAGAGCTTGGACATGATTTCTCCAAGTTCTGCAGTGAATATTCCCATGTATATAGTCTTTACGTAGAGTGCAAGCTATTTGCCTGACGGTCCCTCCAAAGTTCTTTGCAGTAGTTCAATGTCCAAGTCAGTTCGGAGATCAATGGAGCTGTATAGGATAGGAATAATCCACAAATTGACTGCTTTTGAAACACGAGCAAGTAATGTACCCGTATCCTTGTCCTGAGCTGCGTATCTGGCAATAGCTTCAAACAGCTCAATGGGGGTGGTAGCAGTAGTATGAGTGCACTGGGCGGCGTTGTTAGCTATTGCAAGTGAGGAAACTCTACATGCATGTTCACAGACCTTCAAGGCCATTGAGAAAGTTTACAGCATAGAGTTGAATATGCCCAATTTAAATCACTGCGCACGGGGGAAATGTATAAATGTCCATCACTAATCAGTATGCAGATTTGATTGTAAATCAATACATGACCTGCTAGGGCCTGCCACTGTGATGTTGTGAATTGATTTTAGCCTGCCAGGTGGGATTAGAGACGGGAGATTGGATAGACCACCCCATTCAGGACTCAAAACAGAGATAATGTTGAATTCTCAATTCCTTTTCTGTGGATCATATGTGCATGCTCATCATTGATCAGCATGCAAATTTGATGTGAGTGACTTATGAAATAGCTGTTGGCTGATGGTGGTGATGATCACTGGACAGACCACCCTGTTCAGAACTTAAAACAGATGGAACATTAGCATAACATAAATTATTGTGGGGGATGCTGAGAGACGTGCGGGTAACCCAAAACAGAGCAACATACCAATTTGATCAGCAGGACAAGGTTTGCCTTCGTCTTGAGCAAATTTGGCTCCAGTGAAGAACGATAATGCGAGGATGAGAGGGGTGTTCAAGAAGAATCACATGATGGGTTAGGTAGAACTTGACATAAAGTAGCTCCTTGTCTCAACTTCTTGCAAAATTCTGAAGGTTTTATACCCTCAGGCTTGGAAGTGGTGTGGAACCACCTTCCAGCATCTGACATTCGCGTGTTGAATGAGTTAGTACAAAGTAATGCGAGTAAGTTGCGATCCATCTCTAGAAAGCGGAATACTTGATGATGATTTTGCAAAAGATCCCAAACGCGCACTTGAGGTAGAGATTCTCAAGCCGCATCCTGATCCACCCTTGAAACTTCTGACACCTGCAAATCTTGCACTTCATTCCCGTTTGCATCTGTAAAACCTGGATTTTCGGCTAATAGCTGGAGAGCAGCTGAAAGTGCTGTCCAGCCAGTATCCTTGCTCTGGTGAACATCCATGTTTTGCAGATGTGGGGGAAATGATATCACATGGCCATACAGGTATGATATTCAATTGTGAATGCTCAGTCCCTTATGGCAATGAGACATTGGGATATCAGATTCCCCGATCGCGGTGAAAACTCGCAAAACAGTACCACAGTGAGGATTTGACCAACAAGGCAATCATGTATGAGGGTCTACAATGCCTACAAGGCTCTGCTATTCCCCCATGTTATGGTTTCTTCAAGTTCCAGTAAGCTTTGTGCAGATTAGTTTTGTACTTGCCTTATCAGTCATCTTTGTAGCTCGGTAGAATTGTTTGACTTTGGACCAACGTAACTTTTACTCCTTGAGAGACTCGGCAGACTTATTACTTTTGAAAAGTCATTACCAGATGGAGCACGGTGTGTAATAAACACTGGATTCAGTTATGCATTATTCTCATGGCATATTTGTTTTGTGGGAGTAAAATCTGATTTAAAGACCTTGTGCTCTGATTTGGCTGCCCTACACATCATCCACAATGATGTATGGTACAATAACTCACTCTCTGTCTTATGCCAAGAAGAAGGTGGCCTGCCAAGTCTCCCATCTCCAATATCTGGCAAGAAATATCTATGGAAACTTGTAGATCCGGATTGTGCTTATAGGAGTCCCCGAACATTATGGGGTCTCGCTACTTATTATGATACTTACCTGTCTCAAGTGCTGGATAACATTCCCTCTGGCTCTAATGTTGAACCTTGGGACGTTTCTAATCCTGCACCATGGAAATGACCAGTATAGCTAGGTTATATAGCATTGTTGTACAAAGTTCTAATAATAATGATCAGAACATTTTTGTTAACAGTGTCAATTGTTGTGTCTGAGAGCTTACATTTGAAATGATGTATTCCACAAGATTCACATTCTGCTGCTATTCAAGTACAAGAATGAATTCTATTTCTGGGCTTCAAGTGGAGCGGACAGTCCGAACTTGTAGTAGTGGCTCTTTGTCACCTAATGTTGAATGAGCACACAGTCACAGCAAATTGCTAACGGCTCCTATCATTCCCATGGTTCAACAATGCAACCAAAGGGAACATTCTTCAAAATCCGGGGGAGGTAACTATAATAATAAGTGTTAACACCCCCTAAATCTTCAGCAGTCCTATAAGCACAATCCAGATCAATGAGTCTCCATTGATATGACCTGCCAGATATCGGAGATGGGAGACTCGGAAGTCCACCTTGCTCTTGGCTCAAAACACAGAGTATGTTAGCATAACGTAGATCATTGTGGATGATGTGCAGGGAAGCTAAATCAATGCACAAGCTCTCTAATTCAGATCTTACCCCCACAAAACAAAGCTGGTGTGAGTTTAATGTGATGGATGATGAAGTATCTATCACGCACTCTGCTCCATTGGGTAAGGGTTTACCAAGAGTGAGATGTCCGCCAAGCTTCTCAAGGAGTAAAATGGACATTGGTCCAAAGTCAAAGAAGTCAGTTGAGCTGAGGAACTGTTTCAAGAGGCAGCCACAGTACCAACTACACAATCCTTACCGGAACTGGAAAAAGCCATAGCATCGGGGTATAACAGAGCCTTGCAAGCATTGAAGACCCTCATACATGATTGCTTCTTTGGTCATATCTTCACTATGGTACTGTGTTGCAAGCTTTACCACAATCGGTGGTATTTGATATCCTAGTGTCTCATTGCCACAAGGAATCGAGCATTCACAGTCAAAGACCATGCCTGTGCGCCCTTCTGATACCATTTCCCCCAACCGGATATGGAGTGAAAGGTTCCCAGCCGATGGAAGTTCGAAAGGTGGATTGGGATGTGGCTCAAGGACATCTAGCCTGTGGAAGTTTTCAGGTCTCTTTGCATAATCATCATCGAGAATTCCGCTTTCAAGAGATGGAAGGGTTGGGCGGCGCAAGACAACTGGTATGTCCGGTCCTTTCCAAACATTTTCAGGGGTACCGATTTCGCCAGATATAATGATGACGGCAGATACAGCATTGAGGGGCTGATAATAGATAATTTGGTCAATCCTTGCAGCAGTTGAAAAAGTCGAAGACGAACCAACATATTGTCCATATTGACTAGGATGGTTGTGGCGAAGAAGAGAGAAGTACCCGTCACACGTGATACCGTATAATATAGCTATTAGCAGTGATTCATAATAAAATCTCAAGTTCAACTTCTAAAGTAGAGAATAACTCCAATTTTTGAAAGCTGCAACAGATTCCAGACGAAATACAAACATTCCGATGCCCTTTCCTTCCTCGGTCGTTCGCCGCACCGCTTGTTAGTCACTAATATCAAATAGACTCCCGCATACTTGCTTCATCATCAAGCCTTCCTACGTAAATGGCTTCACCTCTGCGTGACGTGAGATATACTCGGAAGTCATCGAAAATATTGACGAGTCACTAGTCGTGATTACCGCACAGTAGCGCCCCGGAAAAATATTGATAAGTCGTCAAGTATATCCAGATATGCTAGAACATCGATATGCGAATGAGTGAAATGCTGGTCTGAGCAAATTAACGGTCATTGTAGAAGATGAAGGAGAAGTGGAGATTGAGGTTACATTTGTTGAACGACGAGCGGCGGGTTAGTAATACTGTAACAGCAAGCGATTGCGAACAAGATCTGAACACTAGTGACTTTTGTCGTAACGCTCATGAAAAATGATTTTGCTTCTCCAAGTGGGATACAATGGGTCCATATTAAACGCAAACCAGTAGCGATCGTCAACCACAGTTGCTGAGTCGGAGAAGCCAGACAAAACCATTAGCCGAAAAAAATCAGCTCATATTCAGTCCTTGGTTACATTGAAAGCACGTACCGAATGAACCAACTTCAGGTGCAGCTGGTCCAAAACTTCTTCACATCGATGTCACTCTCCGATTATGATCTGTCTCCATTATGAAGCGCAAGCTGGTGAACCGCGGTAAAACCCAGTGACACCGTCTTCATCTTGCCAACCGCTTTCAACATTCCATACACAATATCAATTTTCATGACTACTTCCACGACAGGAGCACAAGCAGCTGCCCCATAATGAGTCTTTAACCTCCACGTCGTCGGTGTTATAATTATCATGGAGGTCAGTCGAGGTATTTGTGAAGGGTAAGTCGAGGATAGACATAGATCTGGACTGATCTGGATTAATTGAATGGATAGGGTAGGTAAGCTTATGGATGGTATAACAAAAGCTAAGCTCTTTGTCGCTTCCTCATCCTATTCTTCTCTTTTTCGGAAAAAGTCGGAATTGATGAACGAGGAAAGGAGGGAAAAAATACGGCGATAGTTCTCTACAAGCGCTCGCCAACATTGGGCGTCTGTACATTCTGTCGCCGTGACTCACGAATCTTTTTCTAGGCGTCATATATCATATCCAGTCCTACAAAACAGTGAAGGTAGGACCGACAATCACGAACCGGTGGTTGAGAGACCAAAAACGGGTCCCAATACTAAATTCCTTTCCGAACTCAGCTTCTGAGGCTGATGATACTACGATTGCCAATACTAATCTGGCCTTGGGTCAACAAGCGGTACGGTGACGACGATGACGACGACAATTGGAACATGCGGTTGCGGTTGCGATTGCAGTGTCAGGATCAGAGAACGTGGATAGATCGCGATCTTTGAGAAGCGATGTTCAACCAACAACTCCTCGAGGGGTGTTTACCTATTCATTCTTCCTCTTCCTCCTTGCTTCCGGTGTGCAACTTGAACTTGAACCTGTACCTGATGGACTTTGCTGGTTCAGAGGACAATTCAGAGCAGTTGAAGCAGATTTCAACGATTAATACAAGCTTAACCGCCTTTTGTGTTAAATGACAGCTCGGATTCCATATATCATTCATCTAATTTCACTCGTCTACTGTCCGACGCCCTACGTAACACTTTCTTACCATTGCCCAGTCATCTCGTCAGGAGTGTGAGGTGTGTTCAACTTGGGGTACTTTTTTCTGATTTCAACTTACTTTCATACAGTTTTGCTTCTAAAGCTCTGCTAGCACCACTACAAATGTCGGCGATCCAGCGGTCTTTTCCTAGTCCTTTGGTACTGGTGTTTCCGGCAGTGACAGTAGTAGCGGTGTGGTAGACGTGTGTGTCGTGGTTCCACTACTTCCCATACAACATCCAACACAACCCAAAATACTAACCTTGCACCCTCTACATCTTCCACCACCACCACCACCACCACCTCCCATCAAACCCATCCGGCTCACCAGACTCGTCCTATTCGCCCTCCTTGTATGCTTCGTCTAGCTCGTCCTGTCCTCGGACTCCACAGGGACACCAAATCCTCCTCCTCCCCTTCAGCGTCGCTGTCGTTGTTACTCTTTTTTCCCTCTTATCCACTTGACACCTATGACATGGAGATTGAAGCTAAGTTCTGAACTTGCAGACGCCTCAACTCCTCTTTGAGCTGTCATCTCGGTGGTTCTCTCGTCCACACTTCGCGACCATGACAAAGGAGGCTCGATAGTGAAGCAATAATGTTAGAGTCAATTCGAAGTAGTATTGTAGTGGTTAAAGGGAGGTGCGATACACGGGGTGAGTAAAAGCAAATGCCGGCAGTTCTGCACATTTCTTTCTTTGTCTCCCTTCCTTCTCAACTTCCACGAGCCTGACAACATCGGTTCAAAATATCGTCAATTTCGTCAATGACTAATGTTGAGTATGTCGTTTCAACCTCCACCTTTCGAGAGGTACTTAGCTTTCGTGAGTCTGTATCAAGGCATGATGGTTTATCGGGGCAGGTAACAGTGTCAGTATAGTATAACCTAATGAAATATGAATGGTCTCAGCGGGGTATACCAAATATCATTAGAGATAGTCTCGCGAGCCAAAATCCACGATGAGTGAGGGAAAATTTCACTGATGAGAACTAATCTGGGTAGGGGATACACAATGATATAAAGAGATTTGACGATATTATTGAGACAAGAACTGGTAATCACCTGTGCTATCATCTACGAACACACTTCCACAGTCCACTTGCATGATGATGGGCGTCGCGCTCTGTCGCGCTTCCCCCATCTAGCCAATCAGCGTCATCGAACACGCGCCCGCTGCATATCAAATACTAATGGAATTCTTCGCCGTAACCGCAAGCATCATTCTCGAACCGATCTCGAACCTAAACAATGGATGATGTTGAGGATATATTGGTTTCAGTTATCACCTAATGTCCTGCCCCCTATGAATGGGCATGCTTCAGTTATGGCTGTCGCAGCATCTTGAGACTTCATATGTTATGTGAAGACTCTCCGCTCCATTATGCACAGCAATCTTTGAAATTGAGCAATATTCATGGGAGTCTGGTAAAACCAGCTTTGACATCCCACGTGATTGAATTTGCTTCTTTTTCTTAACGCTCATCAGCACCGTGAACCTCTGTCGTCGTGACTCGCGAACCCTTTGGCTATCCTTGAGTCGTACTATTCGTGATTCAAAAACACCAAACCTAAAGACTGACGAGCGCGAAGTGGAGCGACGGCTTTGTATTGAAAAAGTATTGCGGGATACGGGTTTAGTGGACCACTGGAGCAGCAAGTCGATGGGGTCTTCAACCATTTATACGTCTTTGAATGTGCCCACTGTTATTACCTCTCCCTCCGTGAACTGTCTGCAATGGTCCGAAGATGGTCAAGCGTTTTTTACCTCGAAATCTGCTGTTTATATCATGGTACGGAATCCGAGCAAGATCGACAAGGGTTTTTCTTGTTTGAGTGTTAAATTAATCGTATTTCTGGTTCTTCTTCTGACAGACTCCCGAACACGGTATCAACTTTGACGTCGACTCAGTTCTGAAATCGTCTGTTGATGAGGACACGGATGAAAACCCTTTGTCGGGATGGTTTAGAACTATGATAGCGATTGATAAAACAGACGCGTGCAGGTGGACTGATTATTCGCAAGGTAAGATACATGCGTGAGTTTCTATATAACGTTTGCGTTGGCTCAATTCATCACTGTCGTCGAGGATAGATTGGAGTGCAACGTCCTTGGGTTCTATGGATATTAGTGTCTGGGCTATAACACTTTCACCGAGCCAATTAACACCGGATGCGGGGTGAGCTGTCTTCCATTCCTGTGTCTTTTGTTATGTTTTGAGCTTTCGCGTCGTCGTCTTCTCTCTAGATGCATCCTCGCTATACTCAGTAGCAATATGGACTTGACCCTATGGATAGCCGGTAAAAATGCTTTGAAAGGTGAATGGAAGAAGGTATATATCAAATGGATGTCATTTTTTATTTGCGGAGTGATGACTGACATGCTGAACCATTTTTTCTATCTCTATCTCTCCGGAAGATCACCTGTGTAACGACCATGTTATTGGATCATTTTATGAAAGACACCTCTCTTTCTGCTACCGCTAACACCCTTGCTGCCCAAGTCCTTTGTCAGTGATCTTTTTTTGACCATCACTCACTATATAATGATAATGTGATATCACAGGCATCGATTGGTCCTCTCAGCCGAATTTCGCACTTTCACCTGCGCCCGGATTGGATAATTCCTTCTTGGTATGCGGAAACAGGGCTGGAACACTCTTGTTCATTAGGTTCGTTTATACATCATTCAGCGCAAACGCCGCATTCGAATGTTCACTCAAATGATTAGACATGCCGACGGAAGCAAAGATAAGATAAACCTCGAGTACAAGCTCACCGTGACAGATCGGTGGATTTTACAGGTCGCTTTTTCGAAATGGATACTTGTTCAGCCTTTGACATGTAAGTTTATTATGTAGGATCAGATTACTGACTCATGAATCATCATCCAGGTATCGCTCTCGTAGCCTATTCAACTCCAGATGGCACCATTGGGTTCGTCAGAGTCACACAGACTCTTCAGCAAACCTCGAAGCAAACCCCGTTTGCGCTACCGTTTACTATGTCCACTGCATTTGAACAGCTCGAGACGAAGGTGCTGGATACCCGAAAGGGAGCACTTACGGCGTTGAAGTGGGTTGATGTACCTGGGCGTTTAGTATGTTGTCTCTAATAATTTCGTGTCTATGTGCACTTCATTGACCAACAAACCTATACTCTATTTTTCCATTCTTTATCCTCCCCTCCCCTCATGCTCTTTTTTATATTTCGTTCCAAAGCCAATCTTAGCATATACTCGACCTGGGACGGTTCATCTCTGGTCTCCGTCTGACCCCTCCCCGTTCTCCATCTCCCATCCCACTTCCACCACCACGTTATATCACCCTTCATGGTCAGGCGTCCAAACCCTAACGCTTAAAACCCCCAAACAACTCTCCATCGACTCCTCCCCTCTCCACCAATCAACCGGTATGCAATATATCAGCGCCCGAGACGCCCTAGTCCTGTGCCTCGTCGATGGGTCATTTCACGTGGTGTATGGCATCGCTGGGGTTGCTTGTTCAGTACCGATACTGGACTATGAGAACGTTGCTGCTACGGGCGTGAGGACGACAAATGTAGGTACGGCTGCGGTTGCGGTGGTTGATAGACCACGATCTTTAAAAAGCGAGAGTCTATCGACCACTGCTCGCGGGGTGTTTGTTCGTATTGAACGGGCTGCTGCTGGTTCTAATTCTAATTCTGCGGGGGTTGGAGGAGGCGCTGGTACGTTTGCGGATGCGATGAGGACGAGTGGGATGGTTTGTTATGATGGAGGTCTTGGGACTGTTATGTGGATACATGAGTGAGTCTGTTAGTCTTTTCTTCCTTCATCCACTCATCACCCCTCAAGACCCACCCGTCCCGCAGATCTCAGCTACAAACACGACGCGAAACATAACAGCATCCTTACCGTGACAAGGCTTTGGGACGGAGAAGATTCTGATGAAAACGTATTAGGTGCTCTCGAGAGGGTTTTGAGTGACTCGCAACTCGGTGTGTCTTGTTAATGAAATTGAATGGGTAGATAGACCAGTACTCACTGAGATAGGCCCAGCACCTTTACACCACCTCCGCCCCATCTTTTTCCACCTCAGACAACGAGCGAGGCTTGCACGCTTACATGATCGTTTACTTGAGATTTTGGAGATTGGTGATAATGAGGGTGGAACGGAGCAACCACATCAAAGTACAACCAATGCTTACCAAGATCCCATGAATATACACCTAGACCTTCGAAACAGTCTGAAAAGACATTTATTCGGCGACGAACAGTTGATGCGGTTGAGGATGAAATTGTCCTTGACGGATTTTGCGTGGGTGAGTATGGTAAATTTAGGATGTTGTTGATGTGGGCTGATTGAACGTTTTCTTTTCCCTTTCCTCACCCCCTTACACCCCTTCCTTATTAGAAATTATCCTCCCTCGATACCATCAAACAATCCCAATACGGCGCAATAGCCCAACGTCTCCTCGCACGGATATCTCACGAAAATCTCAAAGTCGTTATTCAGCATTTGATTGGTATTATTAATGTTATTGGCAGAGTTAGTAGTGGGGGTAGGGCGGTTGGTGTGTTTGTTTTTTTGTTATTGTTTTTTTTTCTTCTGGTTTAATCAATCCACACAATAGCACCCAACATCCCCTTCATCCTCCGGCTCATTCTCCAATCTTCCCTCCCATCCTCGTCACCACCACCCCTCTCCTCATCTTCTCCCCCATCCCCGGAAGACTTGTCGTTGATTGCTGAAGGCCAAAAACTATTGAAGGCAGTGAACGGAGTTCTACCTCAAGGACATACCAACAACCACCTTAACCTAAGTGAAATATGTCCTGCATGTGGAGTCGAGGTGCCGTTCCAGAACATAATCAATGCAGCATGTGAGAATGGACATAGGTGGTGTGAGTGTCTTGTTTTTAGGGATTTCTTTCAATTTTTTTGGGTGGGTATCATTATGATATTATTGTGATCTTCCACACCATTCTCCTCTTCCCCCCTGTACCACTTTGTTGTATGTGTAAAAAAGATGATTTTTCATGATTTTATCTTTTTTGCTCTGATGATTTCTGATTTTTTCCCCCCTGATTTATTTGACACCCACATGCACATGCTCTCCAACAGCTCGATGTTCTATCACAACGTTTATACTGTCTACGGCACATGTGCGGACGTGTATTGGGTGTACGCGGAAGGCGTTTTTGCCCCCGCTTTCGGAGTTTAGAGAAGATGGAGAAGATAGTGAGCAGGGTGGTGGCGAGCATGCGGAACATCAAGGACAAGAAAAAAAATTGTTTCCCAAACACAGCTCTCTCCCTCATGCAGTCTGTGAAAGCTGGTTTGTGGTAGAGCTACTAGAAGCAGTGCATAGATGTTTGTTTTGTGGGAATGCATTTGTTAGTGTGTTGTAGGTGCTTGTAGGGTTCCAGGTGTATTGTAGGGTTGTAGATAGTTGAGATGGTCAATGCAGATTGATGAAAACTATGGAGCATTTCCTTGCCATTTGTTCGGATCTGAACAGTTCTTTAGCTCAATTGATTCCTTTACTTCAGGTAATGTTTATCACACTATTCCTTGGGAAGCTCGGTGGTCTTCTCGCGCTTGGTGAAATGACTTCTTTTCAATGACAATGAAACACAGCATGTAAACAAACTAAGAGAAATTATCCCCTGACCCACTCTGAACTTGTTTTGTGGGGCAAGGTCTCCAAGGTCCCATTTGAACACCTCGTGTTTTATTTCAACTCACCTATGCCACAATGATTTTGTTGAATTCTGAACAAGGTGGTCTGTCCAGTTACCATCTCCAACATCAGGGAGTATTCCATAACCCATTTATACCAAATTCGCATGCTGATCAATAATGAGCAAACAAATATGGAGAAACATGCAAAGTAATTTAAATTGAGCATCCTCAAACTTTATGGTGTAATTGTTCCCAATGGTCTTGAAGGTCTGTGAATATGCATGTGGTATTCCTCACTGAGCTAATGGTGGCTCCCAGTGCACTCCTACTACTATTAACACCCCGATTGAGCTGTTTGAAATGATTGCCAGATATGCAGCCCAAGACAAGCATACGGGTACATCACTTGCTCGTGTTTCGAAAGCAGTCAATTTTTGGATTACCCCTATCCTATACAGCTCCATTGATCTCCGAACTGACTTGGACATCGAATTACTGCAACGAACTTTGGAGGGAACTTCAGGCCAACAGCTTGCACTCTACCTCCAAACCTTATACATGGGCATATTCACTGCAGAACTTGGACAAATCATGTCCAAGCTCTGTATCAACATCCATAATGTCATTGTTCCCCAAATGAGAGCACACTGTTTGTTCCATTTGAGCCCACCCAATGGAGTTCCTTGGCTCACAATTCTTGGTCCACTGCGCCCACTTCATCTTTCAACAATCACTATCCCAGTATTGAAAACTGTAACACATCTACGGTTCCCTTGGGACACACCTTACGGGAATTTTGGAGAGGTGGACAAGCTCTCATTCACACATTTTGCATGCGTGTACAAACCAATCAAGCGAGGAATCACAGGCCATGAGTACTTACGAAGCCTTATACAGTTGCTTCTGAAGATAGATACTATAAAGGTGTTAGTAATTTGCATTGATTTGAGAAAGCCATCGGTGCATGTCTCTTCAAGTGAGATCAATGGCATGGTGGAATATCTCCTAAATTTTGAACAGAAGGATAGAAGAGTTGTTATTTGCACATCCAAGTCCATGGAACTGGTGGAAGGGATGTGTGATGAAGAATTTTGGAGATATGCTGAGGAGGTAATATCCCTCAGGATGTAAAGCACATGTGTAGCATCAAGCATAATCAATGAAGGTCGAATTATACCTCTGCTTGTCATCCAATGAATGTAAAATGATGGACAAGCATACAGAGGCTTTGATAGCTGTATGTCAAGTTAGCCCAGACAATGCTACATGCGATTGTAGGCCACTGCACCACCGTGCATGGCAAAAACTCGGCTCCTTCCTTGTGGGTTATTAAATATTAATTGAATATTATGGAATCAAAAAACAGGGGCGCCTTTCAGGCGCCGACATTGATTTTCTGAGAAAAGCAGAATAAAAGTAAATTTACTTAAACTATCTATGGAGTAACAGGGAGTAACCGAATGAGACGAGAAAAAGTAATCGTGACAGAGGGTGACAGTCCCGTGATATCCCGTGCCAGTCACATTTAAATGAATGTATTCCAACAGAATGTGACTGAGTACCATATATGGAGAAACTCCTTCCAAGTAAGCAAAGCAAAATAGCATGACGCGACCTACATAAGGACGAGTCTTCCGTAAACTACAGCCTCGTAACTAATTGCTGCATTATCATATCAGTATAGCAATCTAAGTCACCTTCGGGGTTGAGGGCCTTCATGGCAACGCCCATGACCCGGGCTGGCCATGTAGGTCAATCCATACTATGTGATCTTCCAGTACAGTTGGGCATTGTGGTTGCATCAGATTGTTTTCAGTATGATATATTTGTTACCAGCTCTTTGCTGACCAACATTTATCCATGATTGTTTACAAAGCCATATTCCTTGTCCTATCTCATGCTTGACAATGACTTGACCAACTAGCTGCGCGGGCAAGAGAAACGTACTATCATGTAATTGAGGTAGTATCAATGTCAACCAATCAAGTTTGCCATCATTCTGGTAAACTAAATCCTAAGCCAGGTAAATCTTCCAACCAATGGGGATATTATAGGATCAATCTGTGATTCAAGGGACCTATGTCTTTCAGTCAGTTCAAATAAAGAGATTAGGGACAATTGCTTACATTCATTACTTATTGCAGATGTGGACCCTTCAGATGGGGCAGCATTTTCAAAACCTTTTTTTGTCGGCTAATTTTCAGAGAGCAGCTGAGAGCGCTTCCCAGCAGCCGAAGCACCCAGAGCAAGTTAGAATTTTTCACAGGAAAAAAGTCAGGTCACTGGTAAACCTTTGACTCAATTGGCCATTGTTGCAGTAGATGGCTTGAAAAGAGTGACAAAAAGAATGTTGAAATATACAATGGGGTGAATTGGCAGGGGGATCAAATCCAAAGTGTGTAAAATCTGTGGCAACATAGGATGGGCAATTTTAACTACATATATACAATTATACAAACCAAAGGGCCTGGCTGAAATATATAATGCTGTTAACAACCTTGTCTACTCTTTCTCTGCAATGGCTGCTTCAACATAGCTCCAGAACTCTTCGTCATCCATTCCTTCTACTCGATCCATGGATCTCACAACTAACACCCGTTTGTCCTGTCTCTCCAACTGGCTGAGATTCTCCAAAGTCTCCTGAATCTTGGCCTGAGTTGTGTATTTATACTGGCCCCTTAAATCAACACAAACTACCACAGCTTGGATTTCTGTATCCAACAACTTTGCCAAATTGTATGGCAAGAATTGATGCATGGTAATGTGATCAATGGGCCAGTAACAGCATGAAAAGTGCGTCAGAGATAATTTATGGACCTGCGGTGAGAATTGTTGATTTGGAGTATCCCGAGTACAGCGCAGGTGAGTCACTGTCTTCATCACTGGCAAATTATAACCGTGGACTACCCGGAGGAGACCAGTGATAGTAAGCCAAGGAACACCACATTTTGGGTTGAAATACAGCAGTTCATGGAAAGTGCTCTGGGGCACAACAACCATTGTAATATTTGTGCACAGAGCTGACATAAGCCTTCCAAGTTCTGCTGTAAAATCATCCATGTACACATGATTGATATGAGATGCAAGGGCTGATCCAGATTCTCCTGCCAAGGTACGTTGCAGTAATGACACTTGGAGCCGTGTTAGGAGATGAACCGTTTTGTATAGGCCTGGGGTGATCCAGGCATTGACCATTTTGGAAACTAGCACCAGTGATATAGCAGTTGGTTGATTTTTAGCTGCAATCAGCACAATTTCTTGAAATATTTCAATGGGTAGATCATCCATTCTAAGGATAAAAGGTCATTTATCTGTCTATTGTCCATGGAAATGCAAACCTTGGCTACCGGAATGACGCTAAGATTTAAGGCAGCAACCTGTGGAAGGGATTTCCTGACTTGCTTTGGGTCATTTAAGCATAGATACTAATGAATTGTCTTTGAGTTACCCTGAGTGAATCAGAATCTGATCTTCTGTTTTGCACTGCACTGAATTTTAATACCAATCCTGTAATGATGCGGTAGGATGTCAGCCTTGATTGATGTCTGCCGAAGTTCATCAATGATATTCTAGATCCAGATCTTATAATCTCCTGTTGGTTATTCAGCTTATGTGTGTCTCCTGATGAAGTCATGTCCGACTTGCCCAGCATGTCCGATACACGTTTGTTTGTCAAATGGGGGGAATAAGTTAATAACATTTGCAGGTTTGGAATACCACTATCATGCATGATGCAAACACAAACAATATTGTCAAAATAACCTCCGACTTACCCTGCGCGCCCACTGCCGACTTGCCCACTATTACTGATCTCCTTGGGAATGTATGAGCATCCAAATTAGAGGACCAAGCATGCATTAAGTAAAATACAATTTGCCCGGAGATCCCATTGCCGAATTTCCCAACACATCCAACTTGCCCGAGGGGACAGGAAACTGCATGAAAACGGAAACTTCAATTTGAATATTGCAGCAGTCACTGAGTGTATGCTTCGTTACACCTGCTATGACCTGGAGTGCAAGGGAGTGAATATAAAAACGTGTTACTCAAATATTACACTGCAGTTTCCTCAGTCATCTGCTGGCCAGTTGACCCATTCCAATCACCCCATCACAGCTTATCACAGTCAAAATGAAGTTCTCTGTCCAGCCCGCAGTTATATGGGCATTACTACTTACACTCTCATGTACTCACATAGGCAAAGCGGCTCCTGTTGCTGTACCCAGAGAATTCAGCATCCAGGGAAATGTCACAACATTTGCCACACGCGGTACACAGACCTACTACCGTGCCATCAAGCCAAATGATAATACAAGCAACAAAGTAGGGACCCATCCTACTCAGCCAGAACTCAAGGCAGGCGACTTTTCTAACCAGTGGGGCTATTACATGTTCCCTGTATGCACCAGTTGCAGATGGCTGCCATTTTGGTATTATGAATTCAAATGCAAAACTAATACAAAAATTTCTGTAGGACAAAGAAGATGCTATGTTCTGGGGTAACCAGCACAAAACTGATGCCTCTCATCAATTTGGCGTGGTTGAGCTGGATTTTTCCCTTCCTACTGGAGTGACCTCCTACAGGTGAGCCAAATTGACAAATTTAGCTTTAACAAATAGTACTGAGCTAAGGATATATTTTATGTAGTTTTCCATCAGCCAACCCAGAGTGGACAACAGTATGTAGACAGATTACAGCTCCTGTCTGATCTCTTTACTCATCCATCATTAATCCACAACATGGCTTAGTTTATAAGTGCTAACTACAATCCATCACTGTCAACAAGTGGAGATCGACCCTTACTTCAAGGGAAACATTATTCAGTGATTGAGGGACCTATGTCTTACACTGGTATGAACTATGTCTGATTAGGAGGTGCTCCCTTTAATTTTGACCATATTAGATGGATCTGAATCATATGCTCAAGAAACAAGCAGGGTTACTGGAAAACCCTTGACCCAACTGGCTATTGTAGCAGATGATGGACTGAAAGGTGTGACTGTGAAAAAGCTTTTTGTATATCAGGGAGATTCAAACTGGCAGGGAGGACCTCCATATAAGACAGTCAAACTTGTGTCTGAGTCCTGACCAATTTTGATGTGTCAGTCAATGACCCAGATGTAAATTGTTTATGTTTATGCCTACTGGCTAAAAATGAGGTTATGAGGCTGTGGTTTACTAAGGAAGACTCATTCTTATGTTGCTGCATGCAAGGACCAATAAGTTTGTCCAGCTTAGCTAAAACTTATGAGATGCTGTGAAAAAATGATGGCCCGAGAAGATTGCGGATTTATCTAAGAACCTATTTAATGAAGACATATGTGACAGGGTTGTCACATATGTCTTTTCTAAGAGACACAAACAAATGCAGAACTTATTCAAAAATTGGATTTTTTGCAACAATAAGTATCAAATAAGATCACATACTTTTAATACAATAGAACAAGACTTATAGGAAATATCAGTTGGCCAAGTACTGAATAAATAGGGTTAAATGTGGTACAGAAGAGACTTATTTGATACATCTTAGGTACTGATGTGACATGGTAACAAAGAAGGGTCTCCAGTGTGTCAAAGCTTGGACAGTCTTGGTTGTTGAATGTGGCTATGCTGTTCATGCATCACTAATGTGGTCATATGTTATATTAGTCTATGCTCAGTGTATACTGACATTATATACCATGTGGATTCCTCAGTACTTCCTTGTGTAATACTGTCATACATTTGTGTATATATACTGACCACATAGTATGCTGGAATTCAACTCAATTCTTTGTCCTTCTGAGACTATAAGCTATTATATCCAGATTGGTGTTGAGAGTGTCACAACTATATAGCCTGCTCAGCATTGGTCTCTTCCAGTCTTTAATGCTCAAATTGTGGTTATTGAATTTGACAAGGATGCATTTCTTTGACAGTATTTTGAGATCCTGACCTCCCACTAAACTTTTGATCTGTTAAGATCATGTACACTGTGAAGCCATGCCAGAGGCCACAAGGTGTCTAAGAGCAGAAGGTCGAATGGGACAGTAGTGAAGTTATTAACAACACCACTGTTACACTGCTAGTCCCCGGAGATCGAGAGTAGAGAAGTGGGTAACTAGGAGCAGCCAAGTCAGAACGGCGGTAACACCAAGGATGAGGAGCGAACCAAAGAACATTTAAGTCCTGAGGTCAAAGTAAGGAGAACTTCAAGGCAACGAGCCTGAAGACTTAAAGGGAGAGAGACGAAGAGAACAGTTGGAGAGGATAATCTAAGTTGAGAATTAAACTGAGGGACTATGGTAGAGTACAGGCAGTATTTATATCTATGGATTGGCGCATCGGAGCAGAGCGCCAGACTAACTACTACGAGCTATACATGTAGTACCTGCAGAGTAGAGAATAAGACAATAAGAGGGAGGATAAAACAATAAAGGAGAGACTAGGTAGAAAGGGAATGTGTAGCAAGAAAGAACAATAAGGATGAGATTACAATAAACGGTGGATCTCGGAATACCAAGCGGCATGACTTGACAGTATCCCCCTCTTAGGCTTGAGCCCTCGAAAGCCAAAATCACCGGAGATTGATCCCATCGACCAAATATTAGTTTGTTGAAAATTAAAACTTGAATATACCTGCGGGCCACTGGTTTAATTAAATAAACCTATTATTTGGTTTTCGAAGGGTCTAAAAGGCCCAGGGTTTTCCGCTGAGGACCCAACTTTTCTAGAAAGAAAGAAGGCAGTGGCGAGAGAGAAAGCAGTGTGCGAGGTGCGAGAGCGGGCCATCCAGGCTTGACAGCAGGAGGAAATGGTGATAGAAAGGAGGAAATGGTTGGCTGAGGTGGCGGCGGCCAGGAGTCAACGGGGAACCTCCCCTAGCGAGGTTTCTGTTTCTTGACAATGACTGCAGGTGGAAATACCCCAGAGGGAGAAGGGAAAGGACAAGGGAAAAGGAAAGGCTAAGGCCCAGGTGAGTGCTTTTGACTTCGGGTTAGTTCTTTCATTGATATTTTTTTTTTAGCCTGTTGGCAGGGACCCCGACGACGGCAATGATGGCGATGATGACAATGACTGGGCACCCTGCGAGCGATGCAAGAGCAATGCAAGAGCAAAAAACTTCCTTGCCAGATGCAGGCTGGCTGTTAAGATCATGTACACCGTGTAACCGTGCCAAAGTCACAAGGTGTCTAAGTGCGGAAGACGAGTGGGACAGTAGTGAAGTTATTAACAACACCGCCGTTACGCCGTTAGTCCCCGGAGATCGAGAGTAGAGAAGGGAGGAACTGAGAAGCAGCCAGGTCGGAGCGGCGGTATCGCCGGTGACGAGGAGCGAACCAGAGAACGTCTAAGTCCTAAGGTTATAGTAGAGAGTACTCCAAGGCGTTGAGCCTGAAGACTTAGAGAAGAGTTAAGTTGGGAAGGGAGATCTAAGTTGATAATTAAACTGAGGAACTACAGTAGCGTACAGGCAGTATTTATATCTACGGAACGGCGCATCGGTGCGGAGCGCCAGACTAACTACTAGGAGCTATACGAGTAGTACCTGCAGGGTAAAGTAAAAGACAATAAGAAGGGACTAGAACGAAAGGGTATGTGTAGCGAGAAAGAACAATAAGAGTAAGATTACAATAAGGAGCAGATCCTCGGAGTACCGAACGGCGGAATGGAGGCCCGCGGCATGGACTTGACACTGGCAAGGGAAGTTCTGTAATTTGTAAACCCTGCTATGATGTCAAGGTGAGGTGTTTGTACTCAGGACGGCACATGGTGCCAAAACAACGGGGAGGGGGGTCTAGAGAACACATCACCATGATGGAGAGTCAGATGGCACAAGGATTTGCTGATCTACAGGCCTTATGGGAAGCCCATTCTTGTTCCCAACAATACCTCCGTCAGGTGTTGAGGAGACAGGACGAGGACCACGCCCGGCTCATAGCTATAGAGACAAGGCTGGCCCTGATGGGTGCGGGCTTGGCGACTCCGGGTCCCTTGAGGATAGTGTCAGAGAGGCCGAGGGTTTTGAAGAGGAGGATAACCGTAGAAGGAAGTGATGAAGAAGAAGAAGAGAAGAAGAAGCAGAGGGGGAGGAAGTGTCACAAAGCGGCAGAGGTGGAGTGACTAGCGGAGCAGGAGAGCGAAGTAACTAAGCAAGGCGATGAGGCGGAGTGACTAAGCAGGTCAGTGAGGTGGAGCAACTAAGCGGAGTGGAGGCAAACTGGTCCCAGATGATGACAGAGATATATTGAGTATCATAATCATAGCTAATAGTAAGTAAACACATACCTGGTCCCAGATAATGACAGA